CTGATGATGTTGCTCTTCAGTACTCTGGAAAAGTAGGTCCCTGACAGCATACCTTCCCAGTGCAATACATCTTTTGATTTCCTAACTATTGGTACCAAAAGTATTGATTGTGGAGCCAAGCACACTAAACTGTTAACAATCTCAGTCTCTTCACCATTTATCATGATGCTGCCAATCAGCCCAGTAGTGAGAATCTTTGTTTTCTTGATGCTGGGATTCAATCCATATTGAAAACTGTAGTTGTTGACCTTCTGCAGCAAATGCTTCAGGTCCTCTGTTTCAGCGAGCAGGGTTATGTCATCTGCATAATGCAGGTTGTTGACTAATCTTCCTCCAATCCTGATGTCACACTCTTCCTCATAGAGCCCAGCCTCCCAGATGATCTGCTTTGCATATAGATTGAAAAAGTGTGGAGACAGGACACATCCCTGGTGTACATGCTTCCCAATTTTGAACCATTCAGTGTTTCCTTGCTCTGTTCAGATGACTCCCTCCTGGTCCAAGTACAGGTTTTGCATAAGCACTATTAAGTGTTCTCAGATTCCCATTCTTCTCAGAGTAAGCCACAGTTTGTTGTGATCCACACAGTCAAATGCCTTTGCATAGTCTGAAGCAGAGATAGAAACTCCTCTGGGACTCTCTGCTTTTAGCCAAGATCCAGCTAACATCAGCTATAATATCCTTAATACCACAGCCTCTTCTAAACCCAGCTTGTACATCTAGCAGTTCTCTGTTGATATGCTGTTCCAGCCATTTTTTTTTATAATTTTCAGCAGACTCTTGCTTGCATGTGGTATTAGTGATAATGGTTAATAATTGCTGTACTATGTTGGGTCACCTTTCTTTGGGATGGAACAAATACAGATCTCTTCCAGTTAGTTGGCAGGTGGTTGCCCTCCAGATTTCTTGGCACAACTTGGTGAGCACATCCAGGGCAGTACCTGTTTGTTGAAATATGTCAATTGGTATGTGGTAAATTCCTGGGGCCTTGTTTTGTTTGGGGGGGCTTTTCCCTCCAGTTCTTTCAGAGCAGCTTGAACTTCTTCCTTCAACACCATAGGCTCATACTCATACATTATTTCATTAAATTCTTCTGTGTCATCCAATTCCTCTTGATACAGTGACTCCTTCCATCTTATTACAATGTTTCTGGATCATTTAATATTCTGCCCAAAGCATCCTTAAGTATTGCAACTTGAGGCTTGAATTTGTTATTTGTTAGGTTAGGTTAGTGAACTTAAGGAAGAAATCAGAGAGAACGAGAAAGCTTAATGCAGCTTTATTAAAGGGGGAAAGGGGAGCTCCCAGGTGAGTACCTCATCCTGGAGAAGCAGAATGGGAAGTCACACTGTGAATTTACTGGGGAGGATTTTTATAAACAGAGTCTTTATTGAGGGACATTCCACTCTGATTTAGGAGCCACCTGCTAGCTCAGCCAGACAAGCAAGGCCATTTGCTCTTCTTATCAGCAGCAAGCAAGGCCATCAGCTTTTTTTTTTTTAAGTTTTACCGTCAAATTGGATCTGACTGGTACAGGAGGCGATTGTTCCTCCTTCTTCAGCAGAGCATCTGGTGGATTTGAACCGCGCACCTCTGGGATTGCAGTACAGTTTCCTGCCACTAGGCCACAAGAGCTCGCTGGCCATCAGCTTTTGAGTTCTGAATTCTTCATTCTTTTCTTTGGCGCTCTTTGCCCAGACTAACATTATTCATTTTCTTCAGCTTGAGAAATACTGAGTAAGTCTGGCCCTCTGATATTCTGACTCCAGCTCTTTGCACATTTTATTATAATACTTTCCTTTGTCTTCCCACACTTCTCTTTGAAATTCTCTGTTCAGTTCCTTAATTTATTGATTCAAGCAGAGTGAACCACTTTCTGGCTCTAAGTCATGGCAATAATTGGATTATCGGTGTCACGCATTGGGTTTTTATTGGTGTTTCATTGATTGTCAGTAATTGAACCCATGCCATTTTCAGTTGGTATTTTTAAATGGTGTTTTCAATTACTTATGGGTTCAAAAGCCAGATAAAGAATAAGACTGAAGAGTTGATGCTTTTGAATTGTCATGTTGGAGAAGAGTATTGAGTGTACTGTGGAGCATCAGAAGAATTAACCTGCCTTGGAAGGAGTGCAGCCAGGAAGCTTCTTAGAAGAGAGGATGACAAAACTTTACTCAGTTTAGAAAATTAAAAAAAAAAAAAAGACTAAAGCAAGACAAGAGAGTTCTTCTGGCCTAGAGGCGAGAGGCTGTACTGCAATACTGAAGGCACAGGGTTTGAGGCCACCAGCTGCTCCATGGGAGAAGGCTGGGCAGTCTCCTCCCATGTGATTAACTGCCTCTGAAAACCCGCCAGAGGGTCAGTTCTGACTCTACGGTACACAAAAACAATTACAAAGCAAGACATAAATTTATTCTGTTAAAAAACCAAAACAACAAAACTACTTTGGACATGTCATCTGGGGAGGCCAGTGCCTGGAGAAGAACATCATGGTTGGAAAAGTAGAGACTCAACAATGGACAGAAAAACCCTCAAAGAGGTAGACTGACGGGTCTAACAGTGGACTCAAACATGGGGACAGTTTGTCAGGATGGTGTGAGATTGGGCAGTGCTTTGTTCTGGTGGACTTCCAGTCATTATGAGGAGGAACCAACACAAAGGCACCTAACAACAACCCATTTTACAGTGTGGTGACTTTGGAGACTTATCCTTACTGTGTGAAGAGTCACAGCTGGAGAAGGAAGCATTTTCAGTCAGTTTTCCTGTTAGGCACAGGAGAGACCTAAGTGGGGACTGCAGTCTCCAGCCCTTTGCTGCCCATTCCTCATCCATTCCCTACACGCCCCATTCTCCTGCACCCCCAACACTGCACCCCCACCTCCAGCCTGCCTTTCTGCAATGCTCCCCCCGCCTCTGCACCTCCTCTTCTGGCCCCCCTCCTGTGCTGCAGAGTGCCTCTGAGTGCCTCTCTAGTCATTCCTTACCTGAGCTCTCACCCAGTAAGACTCAACTCAGAACTGGGGTGCCCCCCAAGCCTAAGACTGTCCTTGTGCCCAGCCTGCCCCCTAGTGGCCAGGGTCTTAGAAGTGATCAGCAGCTTCCTTTAGGTCACCCTGGGTTCCTATAGGGTGGAAACCGTTGGGGCATCTTGCTTAGTGCACATACCTAGACCACACATGCACTACACCTACAATATACATACACACCCACTAGCACTGCACATGCAAGCATGCATAAGCAACATGTCCCCCACAAGCACAGTGTACATGCATACACCCATGCATGGAACACACCATGTGTGCACACGTATACACACTCACAGCACACATGCAAGTGCTCGTGCACACCATGGTTGTGTATGCTTTACATGTTCACCCACAGCACATTTATACATGCATAATACACAGGCACACCCTTAGCGAACATGCCACACACAGTATTTACACGCAAACCTCTCTTCACAGTCCTGAGTCATAGAATGGGGTCTGCAGAAGCCCTGTCCTGCTCATTCTGGGCCCACTGAAGAAATAGTGCGGCATCCAGACTAAATTCCTGGCAAAATGGAGTGCCAGCTGGAAGCCACAGCCTCAGGAGCTCTGGGGACCAAGGGCTTCTGTTGGGGTGTGTGGTGCAGCCCTGTGGGGTGCCTGGCCTAACCCAAGCCACAGCCATGTCTTCTTTTTACTGAGCCTTCTTTGTTGGTTTCAGTCCAATGACTCTTTCCCCTTTCTTTCCTGTCTGCACTTCGCTGGACGCTTTCCAGGGGAGTTCTCAGGTGTGTATCTCCCATCCAGCCTTCCTTTTCATGGCCCGGGGGAGGGGGGTGGTGTCTCACATGGAACACTTCCCTGCTGCTGTCCAGTCCCTGCTGGCTGCTCGGCCTGGCCCCTCCTGACCGTCCACTCCCCTGGCCACCTGCCCCCTGCCCCCAGCTCCCTTGCTCTAAGCTTTCACCACTGGGCCATTTACTGCTGACCCATTGAAGCCTAGGAGGCCCCCTATGGCACTCTCTGAGGTCCCCTGCAGCCAACTGACTGGACAGCGGTGGGAGGTTCCCTGTACCCACTCAGGGGGGTGTCCCCAGGAATGAGTTCTCATCCTGCACAGCTCAGCACAGCTCTGTGCACATGGACAGACCAACAGAGCTGCCCTGTTCTGCCAGGTGTGGAGGCTGCTCAAAGGAATCCCACATCACCCGTTCTGTTTTGCCTTGGCCACCAGCCTACCCATCTTTGGAAGGAGGTGTCCACAGGTGTTAATACCCCCCTTCGAGGACATACCCCACCTCATCCTTGTCCCAGGCACAACCCTAGAGATGAACTTGTGAGCTTTTCTAGAAGGAGTGGTTGGCCCTGTCCTGTCTCCTGCTCCACCTGGCCCCTCCTGTGCCTACTCCTAACCCAGGCCTCAGACTGCCTCCTGCTGTTAACCACCGGCATAACACGCTTGTCTTCTCTCCCTCGTCTCTCCCTCTGCCCCGCCCTGTTTCCCTGGATGCTACTGTAGTGCGCGATGATTTTTTTGGTAAGGCCAAGGCCGTATTTCCGTGTCTGCGACCCCCATCCCATCCCATCTCGTTTTGCTTTGCATGCTGTTTGCTCTGTTCTGCATGTGGCGGCAGGGTCAGTGGGCTCCCTAGGTTGGGCTGAGGGTGGTCAGCTTAGCCTTTACCCTCCAACACAACACCAGGTTCCGTGGTGCCAGGTGCTTGCGGCTTCCCAGCCGTCCAAGGCTCTTTGCAGTCTGCCTGCGTGAGCCAGTGTTCTGTGTGTGTCTCACGGGGGAATGAGGTGGAAGGGCAGGACCACTTGGGGGCCAGGATAAGGACAGGCCCTGAAAGCAAGCCCCCTGGACGAGGGTTGAGGACTTGTGTGAATGGTAGCAACTTTGTTCTGCAGTGGCATTAGGAAGTAGAGGGTGGAAAGTATTGAAGGTGCAGATGTGGGCTCTCAGGTGGACTCATCCAGGGTTGTGGTTGGGAGAAGGGGGCAAGTGGTCCAATCCTTTAGACCTCCCTCGCTTCTGTAACTTCCACCTGAAGTGCCTCTGTGTCATCTTCTCTGACCATGCCTCCGACCTTGCCCTCCAATCGGTGTGGGGAGTCCTGGCCAGCAGAGTCATTGCCACTAGTCCATCTCATCTCCTAGAGGGAGGCGGGGCTTTCTCTGAGTCTGTTATCTGTCTTCTGTCATCACATTCTGAAAGCATCCCAACCCCCTGATGAACCACAGAGCTGGGGAAGGGATGATGCCTGGAGCTGCAGGCACACCTGACTGAGGTCCCAGCAGCAGAGAGTTGAGGGAACCACGTTGAGATGCCTTCCGCCAGGAGTAAACCTAGTCGACCATGTCCTCATTCAGGGAGGACTTTGCACAGAGCCCCCACACCAAGCCAGTCCCAGGTGTTAGTAGCTAGGTTGTGGGCACCTCTTCTGCCTGTCCAGAGTTGGGGACCCACCACTCCTGCCCCCCAGGCAGCTGTTGCCAAGGCTGTCATGGGCACTGCAGAGCAGGGTCCGTCTGTGCAGGACTTGGCAAACCTGAACCTTATGTTCCAGGGATGGGCAAGGAGGTGGGTAACCTGCTGCTAGAGAACTCACAGCTGCTGGAGACCAAGTAAGCACACCTATAGATGCAGCCCCCCATGAAGCCCCTCCCCCAACCAGTGCACCCCTGCACCCCACCAGTGCAGCCCCACATCCTTCTAATGCACTTCCCACTAGTGTGGGTCCACACCCCATCAGGGCATTCCACACCACCCCATGATGTGTCCCTTCATCATGCTCCATTCTGCAAGGAGAGCCAGTGGAGGTCTGCTGGCCACAGCGGGGGCTCTGTGTGCTCCTGGGGGGTGCTCCCTAGTGGGGGAGGCAGGGTTCCTGACTAGTCTCCTCAGGAAGTGTGTCTGCAGCTCCTTTCACTGTGGTAGACAGAGACAATATTCCCGTGCAGCACCTGTGAGACAAGGCTCTCTTCAGTGTGGTGCTGGGCACGACTAAACCTGGCCTCCTTAGGAGATTAGAATGCAGGTCCTCAGCTTCCCTGGAGTTCAAGTTCCCCACCTTCCCTGCTCTCCCCCCCATGCACACATGTCCCAGGAGTACAAAGTCTCTGCCTTCTCCTGGGACTCAGGGCCCTGCATCCTCTGGGTCTGGGGTACTAGCTCCCCTCTAGGGAGGGATTGCAGGCAGTGTGACCCCTTTGAAGGTTTGAGTTAAAGCACCCACCTTTCAAGGAATGCACTGAACGTGGTGAAGAACGACCTGATCGCCAAGGTTGACCAGCTATCAGGCGAGCAGGAGGTGCTGAAAGGAGAACTGGAGGCAGCCAGGCAGACCAAAGCCAAGCTGGAGACCCGCGTCCGGGAACTGGAAGAAGAACTGCGCAGGTGGGCGACGCCACCTTCAGCCCCGCCCACTTCAAATAAAAGCAGTAGACTGCCCAGAGGCTGTCATTTTATGGAAGCAGCCTGCATTACCCCTTTCCTGTGGGCACCCTGGATGGTGGATTTGTGGCATGGGAACTAGCCATCCCTGGGGATGGGCCTGTGACAGGCTTCTCCCTTATTTGATCAGTTGGTTGAAGCCATGGGACCCACGCTTGGGTTTCAGAGGGCTGAATGAGGGAGAATGGAGGTGGGACCAATCCTCACTCTCCCTTCCCTGCTCCCCGGCTCCCAAACGGCTCTCCTGCCCTTCAACAGAGTGAAATCGGAGGCAATCACTGCCCGGCGGGAACCCAAAGAAGAGGCAGAGGATGTCAACAGCTGTCTGTGCACAGAGCTGGTACATCCACCACCCTGGGGACCCGCTTCTCCTGGGCACCTCACTCCATGGCCTATTCAAAACCACCCCCTTGAGTTCTCGCCCAGGCCCCTTCCTGTTATTTACGTTTTGGAAACTTTTTTTCTCCATTACAACCACAATTTAATTTTCACACCCAGGAAATTCTACATAGATACAGTACTATTCCCTAACATACAGTCAGTATTTAAATTTCCCCAATTATTCCAACAGCCATTATTTTCATTTTTTTTACCTTATAATCTTATTCATTTCTTTATGTGACAATTAATGATTAAGTAATAGACGTATTAGTTCAGGAGAAAGGAACATTCTCAAAGATACTTTATCCCTCAAGGTTGAGCCTTCCCCTCATGACCACCAGGCCTAGTGATCCCCACTGTGGTGTCTGGATGGTCTTGGGAATAGTGCTGTCACCACTGTCCCCCCAAGTTGAGAGATTCAGAAAGGCATGCACCCACCAGTGTCACCCACCTGTTCTCACTCAAGGGAGAACGCTTGCCTTTTGTCTGAACCCTGAGTCTGGAGAGGAGGTGAACTTGAAAGCTACTCCCCTAGTAGACCTGCTGCATGGGTTGATGGGGAGCCTGGGGCAGGTGTTACAGCTGGGCACATAGGGGTGCCCAGAAATAGGAGCCCCAGACATCCATTAAAGGAGGCACTCTGGAGATTACGACCCTCTGTACCTGTAGAGCTCAAAGGGCTGGTGTTTGGGCCTCAGCAGCCGGCCCCCAGCTCAGGATGCAGAGCCTGCTGCCCAGGTGGCACCTCCACTCCTGCTCTCCGAGCTCCCAGAATATCTCCTCCCCCAATCTCGGGGCCAGGTGTCCTTTTTGTCATCAGCAGCCCTCAGTATCAGGTGCAAGCTATCCGCGGGTCCCTGGGTCTGTGGACTGGTCCCCAGCACCCTGCTCACCTGGCCTGGCTCTGCCTGCAGGACAACATCCCCATGGCCCAGCGGCGCCGCTTCACTCGGGTGGAGATGGCCCGTGTGCTCATGGAGCGAAACCAGTACAAGGAGCGGCTGATGGAGCTGCAGGAGGCTGTGCGGTGGACTGAGATGATCAGGTGAGATGTGGGTCAGATGCTGCCTCTCCAGGTCGCCTCCTGCACACAGCTGGGGCCTGGATCCTAGGGGTCATGAGAGCCAGTGGGTGGGTGACACTTGGGGGGTAAGGGCCGTGACGAAATCAGTGTCCCCTGCCCCCACAGAGCATCTCGGGAGCACCCATCCGTCCAGGAGAAAAAGAAGTCCACCATCTGGCAGTTGTAAGTCTCGGGCAGGTGGGTGGACAGACCTGTTTGCGAGTGGGAGGCCCTGCCCTCACTGTCCACGTCCCTCCCTCTTGCCTTCTGCAGCTTCAGCAGGCTCTTCAGCTCCTCCTCCAGCCCCCCGCCGGCCAAGCGCTCATACCCCTCAGTCAACATCCACTACAAATCACCCACCACGGCCGGCTTCAGCCAGCGCCGTGGCCACACCATGTGTCAGATCTCTGGCAGCCGCCCACTGGAATTCTTCCCCGATGAGTGAGCCCCCACCCCATCTGCTGCCCTGCCTATCCCTGGCCCCCCTCAAACACCTCAGGATCTCGCCTTTCCTGTGTGGAATGCGGGAGTTTCCTGGGCTTTTAAGGCAAGCTTTTGGGGTTCCCGCAGCCTGGGGATCCAGCAGAGGTCCTAGGGCTGCCCTTGAGGCACCACCTAATGAGTGCTTGGGACAGAAGAAGCCTGGGTTGCAGGGTCCTCAGGATGCACCTGAGACCACCCTGTCTCTCCCGCTCAGCGACTGCACGTCGTCAGCGCGGCGGGAACAAAAGCGGGAGCAGTATCGCCAGGTGCGCGAACACGTGCGCAATGACGATGGGCGGCTGCAGGCGTGCGGCTGGAGCCTCCCCGCCAAGTACAAGCAGGTGAGCTCAGGGCCTGACGGGGGCAGGCGTGCAGGGACACGGTGCGGTGGAGGCGGGTCTGCAGCCAAGGAGTGCAGCAAACCCAACTCACAGCGCCCACCCTGTCTGTCGCTTGTGGCAGCTGAGCCCCAATGGAGGCCAGGAGGACATGCGCATGAAAAACGTGCCGGTGCCGGTGTACTGCCGCCCCCTGGTGGAGAAGGACCCGACCATGAAGGTGAGCATCCGGGCCCGTGGGGCAGCCTCCCTGCTTCTGTACTTGCTGTGTAGGACAGTTGGCTTTGTGCTGCCGGCCCTGGTGGCCTCACTGGAGCTGAGCCTCTGTCCTTGCAGTTGTGGTGCGCGGCGGGCGTCAACCTGACTGGGTGGAAGCCCAGCGATGAGGACCCAGGGAATGGGACCAAGCCAGTGCCCGGCCGGGATCCCCTGACCTGCGACCGTGAAGTAGAAGGGGAGGTCACCAACAGCCACACTTCTCCAGAGAAGAAGAAGGTGAGAGTGGCCACAGACGGGCAGGTCCTACCTCGTTCCTGTCACCAAGGCTGGGCTCAGCGGGAGTCACCCTTGGTGATGAATGGCAGTGGTGTTGAGTGGTGACCATGGAGCAGGGTGGGACAGAGGACAGCATCACTTTCCCAGCATGCAACAGTGCAAGAGAACTCCAGGGGCCTGGCATCAGAGGCTGAAGTCTGACATGGGACAGATGGCATGTGGCCTGGTTCTGCTTCTTCACCATCCTGTTTTGTGGGAGAATAGCTGTGAATGGTCAGGGCTGCACAGTGAGGACCCTGTGCTGTGCCCCTGTCCCTGCAGGCAAAGGAGCTGCATGAGATGGACACCACCTCCAGCCGGGTCTGGATCCTCACCAGCACACTGACCACCAGCAAGGTGGTGATCATAGATGCCAACCAGCCAGGCACCGTGGTGGACCAGTTCACTGTCTGCAATGCCCATGTCCTGTGTATCTCTAGCATCCCTGGTGAGCCCTGCAGCATGCCAGGCGAGGCTGAGCATGTGGGGACCTTGGAGCACATGGCATAGAAGCTGTGTTGGCACTAGTGAGGCCAGACAGTGACCTGCTGACTTTGGTGGCCTTGTCCTGTTCACAGGAGGGAGCCTATAACTCCCTTTCTCCCTGGGAGATGGTCACTGATGGTGAGGAGGCAGCTGCTCCCAGCAGACAGGATATATCCTCTCTGTGGGACCCTCCTGGTGGGCCTGAAGGGGATGGCTTGTTGGCAGGAGGTGACAACAATGTCTTTCCTCCCAGCGGCCAGTGAGAGTGACTACCCGCCAGGGGAGATCTTCCTAGACGGTGATGTGAATCCGGAGGAACCTGGCGCAGATGGAGTGCTGGCCGGCATCACACTGGTGGGCTGTGCCACTCGGTGCAACGTGCCACAGAGCAACTGCTCCTCGCGTGGAGACACTCCGGTGCTGGACAAGGGGCAGGGTGAGTCCCAGCGCCCCAGTGTCCCCCCTCCTAGCTGGCATAAGTTCACCCCTCTTTTCCACAGGGGAAGTGGCAGCAGCCTGCACTGGAAAGGTCAACCCAGCTCAGTCCACAGAGGAGGCCACGGAGGCCACAGAGGTGCCCGAGCCCAGCGAGCCTGAAGCAGCTGCAGTGCGGCCCGGGCCCCTCACAGAGCATGTCTTCACCGACCCAGCCCCCACACAGCCCCCCAACAGGCCTGGCAGGTGGGCTGCCCAAGGTGTAGCAGGGTGGGGTCGTGTGGGCACAAGCTAGCTGTGCCCTAGGATGGGCCTGGGGCTGCCCTGGAGCTGGGTCCTTCTTGCAGTGAGAATGGGCAGGAGGCAGAGACAGAGGCCAGCAGAGCGCAGCCTGAGCCAGAGCCCAGCGTGGACCCTGCAGGGGCTGGCAGCAGCGTGGCACCCACCATGTGGCTGGGTGCCCAGAATGGCTGGTAGGTTGCACTGAGGGCTGCCTGGGTGCTGAGGGTCTTGGCTGACCAGCCTTCACCAGCCTCCTCCTCTGGTTCCAGGCTGTACGTGCATTCGGCCGTGGCCAACTGGAAGAAGTGCCTGCATTCCATCAAACTGAAGGACTCCGTTCTGAGCCTGGTGTACGCATGTGTGGCGGCATGGGGAGGGTTGGGGGGCATGGGAGGAGCTGTGGCAACCATGCCCCCTCTTCACCCCTTTCACCTAAGCTTGCCCCTCCTCCATTGCAGACACGTGAAAGGCCGAGTGCTGGTGGCCCTGGCAGATGGTACCCTGGCTGTCTTCCATCGTGGTGAAGGTGAGGCATAGAAATGGCAAACGAAGGGGGACCATGGTGGGCTGGGACTATCTCTGGACTGGAACCCTCGGTGGATGTCCCCCTCTTCTGTCCTGGGAGCAGACCTGAGCAGGTGGGTGTGTGTCCCCTCCAGATGGCCAGTGGGACCTGAGTAACTACCACTTGATGGACCTGGGCCACCCACACCACTCCATCCGCTGCATGGCCGTGGTGTACGACCGTGTGTGGTGCGGCTACAAGAACAAGGTCCACGTTGTCCAACCCAAGACCATGCAGATCGAGGCGAGTGGGTCTGGGTGGGGGGACTATGCAGGACTGGGTGGGAGGGTCAGTGCAGGTGGATGACAAGGTGGGGAAGGGGCCCTGATGAGGCAGGGTTAGGTGGGGTCTGGCCCAGTGAGATTTGATGAAGTGCCGGATGGGTGTGGCTTGTGTAGGGGGCGTGATCGAGTGGGCAGGGCAGATAAGTGAAATAGAGGTGCTGGAGAGGGTGGAGTGACACTAAGGGGAGAGGCCAAGAGAGGGACTGAGTTGAGAGGCTGGGCCAGGAGGGATGGGGTGCAGGTTTGGAGGAAAGAGGGTTGAGGGACAGATTGAGGGAAGGGAAAGTGGGAAGCTTGGAAAAAGGTGTCTGCTGGAGGGGTGGGGAGGACAGTGGTTTGTGATACTCCCTCCCAGAAGACTGGAGTTTAGGGCTCAGAGATGGATTAGACAGGGCTGTGTGCGCGCACTGGGCCTGCTACTAGCTCAGCCTCTGGACTCCTGCATACCTGGGGTCAGAGGATAGCCAGGTTCTGTGTCAAGACTCTTACTCCTCTCCACTGACTCTGTGACATCCCCAACAGAAGTCGTTTGACGCCCACCCACGGAGGGAGAGCCAGGTACGGCAGTTGGCGTGGATTGGTGATGGGGTGTGGGTGTCCATCCGCCTGGACTCCACGCTGCGGCTCTACCATGCCCACACCCACCAGCACCTGCAGGATGTGGACATCGAACCCTATGTCAGCAAGATGCTGGGTGAGAGGACGCCATGGGGTAGGGAGTGCAGGTAGACTCAGAGGTGACCACCTGGGTGGTGGTGGGTCCCAGCACACAGCCACTTGGCCCCCAGAGTGGTGGTGGCTCCAAGGCAGACCCAGCACTGACCACCCCAGTTCTGTGGGTACAGGTGGACTCCTCAGTAGTCCCCAGGGTGGTGGGTGAGTGCAAGGTGAGCCAGCGCTGACCCCCCTCACCCTTTGTACCCCAGGCACAGGCAAGCTGGGCTTCTCCTTTGTGCGCATCACAGCACTGCTCATCGCTGGCAACCGCCTCTGGGTGGGCACTGGCAATGGAGTGGTCATCTCCATCCCATTGACTGAGAGTGAGCACCCCTCTACCTGCTGCTCTGGGACTCTTGGGAGGACTGGGAGGGCTTCAGGACAAGGCAGGGGCTTGCCGGGTTTCTGAGGATGTACCTGGGGCACCAGGCTGGCCCTCACCCCCCAGCAAAGCAACTGTCCTTTCTCTCCCTTCCTCTTAGCTGTGGTACTACACCGAGGGCAGCTTCTGGGGCTTCGCGGTAAGTCCAGGCACTGCTCTGTGGGTTCCTAAGTGGAACGGGGTCACTAAATGGTGGTGGGAGAGGGCAGGCCCATCTCAGACCCTTTACACCCTGGTCTTCCCAGCCAACAGTCAGCACCTTTGGGTCATTTTGTCTACAGCCAATAAGACATCCCCCACATCAGGGGAGGGTGCCCGTCCAGGAGGCGTTATCCACGTGTATGGTGATGACAGCAGTGACAAGTCGGCGAGCAGCTTCATCCCCTACTGCTCCATGGCACAGGCTCAACTCTGCTTTCACGGCCATCGTGACGCCGTCAAGTTTTTCGTGTCTGTGCCAGGTAAGGGGCTTTCTGGGCCCACAGAGAAGGTAGGGTGGGGAGGCAGCCTTGCAGGGCTGTACAGTGAGATGGGAGGGCAGTGGTCCACAGTGGACAGCTGTGCACACCAGCCATGCTGAGTTTTCTCTGCCCCTGGACAGGTAATGTGTTGGCTACCCTCAATGGCAGTGTGCTGGACAGCCCATCCGAGAGCCCCGGGGCCCCAGCCACTGCCTTGGATGCTGCTGAGGGCCAGAAGCTGAAGAACGTGCTGGTGCTGAGTGGAGGAGAGGGATACATTGACTTCCGTATCGGTGAGGGGCTGGCTAGGATATAGGGTGGGGGCTGCAGGCAGGGGCTGTCCCTCACCTGCTCCTCTTGCAGGTGACGGCGAGGATGATGAAACAGAAGAAGGTGGAGGGGACCCAACCCAGGTGAAGCCCTTGCTGTCCAAAGCCGAGCGCAGCCACATCATTGTGTGGCAGGTGTCCTACAGCCCTGAATGAACGCTGCCTGTACATACACGCCCGCCTGCCCGCTGCGGCGCCCCCAACCTCTCAACTGCAGCTTTCACCTTAGGTCTGGGCCCCGCTACAGGCAGACTCAGGGTGTGGGTTAGGCCAGGGGGTACCCTCAGCTGAGGGACCCCTTTGCTAACAGCTCCTGGCCAGTGCCAGCCCATGGTCACGTCCCAGGTCAACTCAAGGCTGGGGGTGGGGGTGTCTGGAGATCTTAGTGGGGGTACCTGGCTGTGGGTAGTCCCTGCAGAGAACCCCATTTCTGTTCCTGGGCTCCCATTACCCTCCCCTAAGTAATCATTACCCAGAACTGGCAACCTACTTGCCTTTGGACTCTTGGGGCTGAGGGTCTGACCCTGTCCCCCAGATCCTAACTAAGGGAGCTGGGCTCACTCGAGGGAGCCTTCCCCGACACTTCCCTATCCTTCACCCTCTGCTTTCTGCTGCCCCTGCTCGTAATGTGACCCAGTCCCTGCCTGGCCAGCCCCTCCCCACAGGTAACCCCCAAGCAGGGGCACCCCTCATGGGCCCAGAGCCCTGTAGCCCCACCTCTCCTCAAGCCCCCAGGGTGGGAGATTGGCCTCAGGAAGAAAGGGGTCAGTGCAGGACTCAGGCCAGCCTCAGGTTGATGGGGACATGGGGTGCTCCCAGGTCTGCCTTGAGGAGCCTGGGCCCTAGAGCCCAGCTCGACATGTGACTAAGTGCCTAGGGTTGGCTGTGTGGCCTGCTCTCCCTGAGGGGCAGCTGACAGGCTGCGGAGCAGAGGTGGAGGGCTCAGGGTGAGGGCCACCCAGCCAGGCTCTAGGTGTGTGTGCATGGCAGCCTCAGTTTTGAGAGTGCTGCCCTAGTGGACAGGCCCAGGCCTTACTCTGGCTCCATATACAAGGCACTGAATCAGCGGCCTACCCTCCTGCCACAGGCCAGTGCAGGCTTCCCCACCACCCGCCAACTCTCCACTGTGACGTATGTAAAGTCCCTTTTCTGTCCCCAGAGGATTATGAAGCTATTTGGTGAGTGGGTGGTGAAGGGCCAGTGACAGTTCTCCCCAGGCTTTGGCCCTGCAAGTGCCCCCATGTACCTGTCCCATGTGTAATAAACGTCTCCACACTGTCCATCTGTCCATGCATCCAGTGCTGTCACCACTTTATTGTGAGGGGAAATGGCAGGGTCTCTGATGCCTTGAGGGCTAGAAGGTATATCCAAGAGCAATTCAAGCAGTGCCCCAGAGGGGTTCACCAATCCGGGTGAGGCCTTCTTCCAGGGAGGCCCTGGGCTGGACCTGGTCTCTCCTGAAGGGGGCTAGTGCACCAGCAGAGGTGGGGTGAGATCTGCTCCTGTCTCCATGTCCACCGAGTAGCGGGTGTTTCAGCCCACACAGAGGCCCTTATAGTGGCCATTGAGCATAGCCAGGCAGCTTTCCACAGCAGCTACTCGTACAGCCAATGGGCTGCACTGTCCTCCCAGCACAGAAGCTCATCAGTGCGGAACCACAGCGCTATCTCACGTCGAGCACTTTCCACTGTGTCACTGCCATGAATCACGTTCCTGGGGGAGGGCAGGGGTCAACATGAGGCCTTCTGAGCGTCACCAATGGCAAGGCCTGGAAAAGGGTGAGCAAAGTAGGTGGGGTAGGGGTCCAGAAAGGTTCAGGTTACCCTGGTGGGTCTTACTTGCCGATCTCGATGCAGAAGTCCCCGCGGATGGTGCCGGGCGTGGCATCAGCTGGGTCGGTCGCCCCAATGAGCGTCCGGGAAGCACGCACCACGTCCAGGCCTTGCCACACCTGCGGTGCCAGAGGAATCAGGTCAGCTTGTGGTCCAGGCGCCCTGGCGCGCCCCTCCCCAGCACTCACCATGGCAACCACGGGCCCGGAGCTCATGTAGCGGACCAGGCGACTGAAGAAGGGGCGCGCGCTCAGCTCGGCGTAGTGTTCACGCAGCAACTCCTCTGAGGCCTGCGGAGAAGAGGCCTCAGTCACTGTGCGGCCCAGGCCGCCCACTCCACCCGGCCCAGGCCCGCCCTCACCTGCACTAGCTTCAGCGCCACCAACTTGAAGCCTTTCTTCTCAAAGCGCCGCACGATCTCGCCCACTAGCCGCCGCTGCACACCGTCCGGCTTCACGGCCACGAAGGTGCGCTCATGCACGCCGGTGCAGCCTGCGGACCTAGCGTCAGGCCTCGGGGGCTCTGCCCAGCCTCGCACCCAGCCCATCTCATCCCTGTACCCTCCACCTGGCCTGACAGGCCTCGTCCTGGGGCCGGTCCCCTCCATCCGACCCGGTAGGCATACCATGAACCTCAAATTATCTGCCCTGGGTCGGCACCCTCCACCTGGCCTGCTGTTACTCTTTACCCAGAGACCTGCACCCTCTACCCGACCTGGTACCCCACCCTGGGTCCAGTATCTTCCATCCCGCCCAGTATTCCCTTCATCGGACCCAGTACGTCCACAGGGTCCAGTACTCCAGCCCTGAACCTGGGGTCCACACCCTGTTCCCGCTATCCTTCATCACAGCCCGCGCTGCTCACCCGCAGGGAAGAGGTTGGCGAAGACAGTCAGCACCAGGCAGATCATGATGGCGACAGCGCTGGGAGGACCCCGCGCGGCCTTGCTGGAGGCGGCGGGCGGGGCGGGGCCTGGGTTTAAAGGGGCCGCTGCCGCTTATTCCCTCCTTAGACGCCCGCAGAGGTGTGCGACACGGTCATGCATGGGCGGCTGAGCTCTTGCATAGGGCAGCACGACTGCAGATAGCTCAAGTGTCCTCAGCTACCCGGCGCCTCCATCACCTAGTGCAGCTGTTCCGTGTGGAGCTGGCCTTCCCCCTCAACAAGGCCTGCGGTTAACTCCTTTCTAACTCAAACAGCAATCTCAGAGAAACCACAAGTTACACAACTTCCTCCCTTGCAGGTGCCAGGCTCAGCCTGCTCAGTGCCTTGGCCTTGTCCTAGCAGTCCCGCCCGCCCTCACCTGGCAGTCATGGGGCTGGAATCCCACCTGTGGTACTGGCCTGATTCTCCTACCCCACCCCAAGGCTGCCTGGGAGGAGGGCGCTCCCCACTTCCTTTGATTTTTTACATCATAGTAAAAAAAGAGGCTTTATTTAGAAACAATTATTGCACGAGAATCCCAACATGCTTTTTAATGCTGTTATCTTAAAGCCTTTGGTTCCTCTTAAACTTGAGCCCCCACTACTCCGGGCAGGCACAAGGAGGGTGGGACTGATGGAGATGGAAACTGAGGTTGTCTTTCTGCCTAGGTCCCACCACCAGCACAGTGTCCAGGGAGGGCGGCCACCCTCCAGAGTGTTCAGTGGTGCCCCAGGCACAAGGAGGGTGGGACTTCCCCCTCCCCAAGGCCTGTGGTTAACTCCCTTCTAACTCAAACAGCAATCTCAGAGAAACCACAAGTTACACAACTTAAGTGGTCTTTATTTACGTCCAAAGTCTGGATCTGGGCAGGGATAACAAAGGGTTCTCACCTCTGGAGGCATCAGGCCTGATACCCACCATGGCCACAGATTGCACGAGCCCCCCTGGCCTCAGAGAACATAAATGCACCCAAACACAGAAGAAATGAGGTCAGGAGCCTACCCAACTTCCAGCCAAAAGGCGCACCCTCCCCCCATGGCAGAACACTGTTCCTGGAACTTGTGACTCAGGGGACCCTCATCCCTGTGTGGCCGCTGGTCCTTTATACTGGGGTGCCCTTGGCCTTGAGCTTCGACTTCAGTCTGGCAGGGTAGTCCCAGGGTGTGCAACCTTCACTGTTCAGATTCAGCATGGGTTCCTCAGTGCTCGGGTCCCCGCTTTTCTGCCGCTCAGCGAGAATCATGGCTCGGAGGAGGGGCGGGTAAGGCACAGAGACGGGCGGGGTCTTGCTGGGGGGTGTGAAAGCGGTGAAGGCCGCCTCTTCGTGCTTGGGTACCAGTCGCCAGTCGTGGTGCATGACCTGCTCAATCTCCCGGGGGTGCCTTTCTGTCTCACCTGGGGAAAGAGGGACACGGCTCACAGCACGCTTCCTTAACCATCTCTGCCCTGTGCACTGTCCCCCAAGTCTTACCTTTGAAGGTCAAGATGCCCCAAACTTTCCCGTGGTCCACGTTCTGAAAAACAGGTGGAAGCTGATCAGCTCAGCAAACTCTTCATCCATTTCTCCCGAGAAATTAGGGGACAACCGGTCCCAGAGTCGGATCCAAAAGGGTAGGCAGGACTGCCTAACAAGGAAGTAATCTACTACCTCCCTTAAGATTCAGGAAGCACCCATTCCATTGTGGGATAGATAAAGAGTCAGGGCTGCCCTAAGAAGTCACCCACCGCTCTCCCAATATTTAAGGTGTCATTTGGCCCACAGTCGGAGCGAGGCGAGGAGGTAATGGTTATTACGAGGGCCCGGGGTGATGCACGCGCAGACGGCAGGAGAGAGGTTCGCACACGCACCTGCGCTGTGTAGTCGGGCCGGACCCGCGTGAGGCGCCAGTAGCACGGTTCGTCGTGCTGCCATAGCCAGGACTTGCGCGTGACCATGCGGCCAATGCCGAAGAGTGGTAGGCGGTTGAGGATCTGCAAGAGGCGGCTCTCACGGCGCACGTCGGCCCAGGCCCGCAGGGGCAGCCGGTGGCCCGATAGCGGCCGCGTCAGCGTCTCGTAGTCCAGCTCGAAACGCTGTGAGTCACGCGGCCGATCCCGGTGCTCGCGCAAGGCCCGCACGCGCCGGGCCAGCTCAGCGATCAGCCGCGGCCTCACCTTCTTCCGCGCCATGATTGAGCTGCAAGGCTGGTCCGTTCCCTTATTGTTCCGGCCGGGAGCCGTCGCCTGGCGCCGCAAGGTCCACAGCCTGCAGGAAACCGCAGATGTGTCCCCGAAAAAGGTGTCCTGACACGGCCGGAAACGGCAAGTGTGTTCTCGGCAAAGATGTCCGGAATTAGCAGGAAGCGAGAGCGAGGCAGGCTGGCCATGGCGAGGGTCGGGTCTGGAGGGACCGAGCTGTCCACCCGCAGTGGCCGCAGCCGGGGCCAGCGGCGGGCGCCGACCTGGGAGATCTCAGATTCGGACGGCGAAGGCTCTGCGTGCGCGGCGACCGCTGTGAAGGCCCGGGATCCCGCGGAGGAACGCAGGGCGGCAGCCGAGGCGCTGCGGCCAGAGCGCGCTCTCAGGCGCCTGGCAGTGCGGGTGGACCCAGGTGCGCGTGGAGGCAGCCTGGGCCCTTCTGCCCGGAACTCCGCGTTAGGGACCACCTTGAGCTGCCCCCAGCTCTGGTGGCACAGTGGTCAAAGCACTTGACTGTTAGCCAAAAGGCAGTTTTCGACCTTTCAGTGAGAAAGACATGAAGTCAGTTCCTGTAAAGATTTGGAAAGCCGGGATGGTTTTCTGTCCTGAGTTGGCCTCAACATAATGGTGTAACTGGTTGCTTCCTGTCTAGGTAGAGAGAGATGGAGTAACGGGCGGGCGTTCTCTCTCCTGTCCCCTCCTAGCCATTCTGGAAGACCCGGGTGCTGGAGGCTCTCGGGTCCCTGGGCTGCGAGCACAGCATCGAGCAGCAGCCCCAAGCCCGCAGGCCTCAGCTGGAGCCGAGTGACACCAGACCCCTGTCCCTGTGGCGTGAGTGTCCAGTTAATGCACTGAGGAGGTGATCCGTTTTGTTGGGGTCCCAGCTGGTGCTAGATGCTAGAACCTGCCTTGGGAAGTTGCTGCTGCTATTGTGTGTGATGCAGTCATGGATGCCTAGGAGCAAGGAAGAGAGTGGAGAGTTGACCAGGGCTAGGATCCATCCACTCCTAGTCTGTTCCCAGGGCCCCAGAGGTCAGGGTAATGGGCTTTAAGGAGTGGGCCTGCCTGGCCGGAGCTTGTATTGTCGTGAGTTTCTTGCCGCGCCTGTCCTCACAGGTGCCCCCTCAGGTGTGGGATTTCCACGAGCAGGAGTCCCTGGTGCTGTTGGAACCAGAGGAGTTTCTTCAGGGCGTCATACAGCTGACTCAGGTGCTTGCCCAGTAGAGAGGGTTCACAGAGGGCGGCCTGTAACGTTACTAGGAATAGGATAGACTTAACAAGAATAGAATATTTTGGTTTTGGTAACAGTATTGAAAGTTCCCTTTAAGAAGGTGGGGTGGAGTGGTAAGCCAGAGGGTGGATACCTGATGAAGGGGTGGGAAGATCTCTCGTTGGAGGCACCAGGTGGGGCTGGATTGGCCTTGGGAATTCAGAGCCATCAGCCAGCTGAACCTGACCACTGTCAGGCTCTTCCCTGATTGGGTGCTGGCCAAGGTTCCATATTCTCTTTCCTGTTATGGATAGGCGGAGGCTGGGTGAAATGCTGACACCCTTCCTCGCTTGCAGGTGCCAGGCCCAGCCTGCTCAGTGCCTTGGCCTTGTCCTAGCAGTCCCGCCCGCCCTCACCTGGCAGTCATGGGGCTGGAATCCCACCTGTGGTACTGGCCTGATTCTCCTACCCCACCCCAAGGCTGCCTGGGAGGAGGGCGCTCCCCACTTCCTTTGATTTTTTACATCATAGTAAAAAAAAGAGGCTTTATTTAGAAACAATTATTGCACGAGAATCCCAACATGCTTTTTAATGCTGTTATCTTAAAGCCTTTGGTTCCTCTTAAACTTGAGCCCCCACTACTCCGGGCAGGCACAAGGAGGGTGGGACTGATGGAGATGGAAACTGAGGTTGTCTTTCTGCCTAGGTCCCACCACCAGCACAGTGTCCAGGGAGGGCGGCCACCCTCCAGAGTGTTCAGTAGTGCCCCAGGTCAAAGTGACCATTGACTCGGCCCAGGTGGAGGAGGTGAGGGTTGGCTGGGCTGGACAGGGATTGTAGACCCTCTTGAGGCCAGCAGGACCAGGTCTGGTCAGCATCAGTGGTCAGTCCTGGCATGTTCCTGGTTGCCCCCCATCTTGAGGAAACTCCACGTGGCTCCCCCCAGGCCCTGGTTTGGCTGCAGCTCTGGGCCAGCCTTAATGTGCTGCTGGTAGCTTCATGGCAGGAGCTGAGTGAACATGTGTGTGCCTTCGCCAGGGCCCTTGCTCAGTGTCCCTACAAGCGAGTGCCCCCACCCAGAGCAGGCTGGGCAGTGGGGTGACGTGATGGCAGAGGAGAGGCAGCCTCTGGAGGGACTCCTGCTCACATCTGCAGGTGGCTCTGGGAATCCCAGGCCTTTTCCTTCTGCAAGGCAGAACGCTGGGCTGCTGATGAGCGGACAAAACATGGCCTGGGGTTGCGGGGGACCTGGTGGCAGCAGATCTGGCAGTTCAACAGGGTCAACCCAGCAGTGGCCAATGCCGTGGTCACTGCATTCCCCTCCCCCCGCCTCCTGCAACAGGTGAGCCACATGCACATCAGGCCCAGGTACAGCTGGAGGAGGCATCCCTGCTCACCCTCATTCCCTGCCCTAGGCATACTTGGCCTGTGACTCGGAGCGAGAGCGACTGATTCTCCTGGCTGACCTCCTTGTGGAAGAGGGTCAAGGTGGGCAGCCTAGAAGGGTGGGACCCGACCTCTCCCGCCGTCTCTTCCTTTTCCTGACTACCTGCAACCCTGATCTCCTGCTGGACCTGGATTCCTGAGCACATTTGCCTCTGAATAGCACTCAGCACTCAGGGTAAGGGGGAGTAGAAATCACTGCCCTGTGTGGGGCTGGGCACCAACCACTGGCACCTTCAGCCAGAACAGTGCAGTCTGCATCCAGCTTCATCAGCCTGACCCCAGGGCTGGGGAGCACCAGCTAAAGTTCTTGGATAGGTGGGCTGAGAGAAGGGGCCAGGAGGCTGAAGGGCTGGAGACTGCACTTGTGCTGGTGTTGGCTGTGAGGGGCATCCCTGCCTCCTGGAGGAGCCCCCTGAGGTGTATGGGTCCCCAAGAAGTGGAGGATGAGAAGAAGTAGAATGAGTCCTCATAGGACAATTGCCATAAACTCGACAGAGCCGAGCCTACAGGCTTCAGCCTGGACTCAGCTAACTTACAGCTCCTAAAGGGTTACATAAAAACTGTGCATTTATTACAAGGACTGAGTCTCTGAAGAGGTGGGGCAGCAGCCCATGACATGCAGAGCAGCAAAGGCCCAGGAAGCAGGGATGCCAGGCTAGCCAGGCCCCTTCTCCATGCAGCCAACAGCAGCAGTCCTGGCTCCCCAAGGCCTCCCACCCAGCGCCTTCAGAGTGGCCCTGAACCCTGCAGGGTGGCCTGGCCCAGCTACTCCCTCCTGCCTTTCTGGGGTGTGGCCAGAAGGAAGGGACAGAGACGTCCCGGGCAAGGACAGTTTTCACTGGAAAATAAGTTAGGTCCTGCGGCAGCGCTTCCTCTGGGAGGGCCGAGCTTCAGGGCTGGGCACAGGCGGCCGGTGGTGGCTGCAGCTCATACTCAGCACCCAGCCCAGCTTGCTGTGCAGCACCTGCTTGAGGCCAGGGGGCAGCGGCAGCCCCTCGAGTGTGTCCCCAGAGTCAGGCCGCAGCTGGCGCAGGCGGTAGCAGCACAGATACTGCAGGGAGGTGGCACTGGCACACGAGCGGATCACCTTCATGCTGCTCTTTGCAGCCGTGGAGCACACCATCGGGTAGAACTTCTTGTTCTGCAGTTGTGTGGCTGCTACACCTGCCAGGGAGGGGGCACCTGGGTCCATGCGTGGCAAGAGGAACCCTGGCACTCACTGGACTCTTTCTGTCCCCCACTCGTCCACCCCAGGAACCTCACCTATGCATTTCCGGTTCTTGAAGAAGGTCAGCCTCCCATGCCAGGTGTCCAGGTGCACGCCGATGATGGAGCCCTGGCCGAAACGCGAGGAGAAGCTCATCTTGTCACCCCTGTGGTGAAGGAGCCCTGGGGGCGGCGGGTGGGTGAGTCTGGGGGCTGGCACTTCAATTCTCCAGGCAGCAACAGACCTACCCAGCTGCCCTGCACTCCACCCACCTAGCTGGACACCCCACGCACCCGTGTACGAGAGGCCCCAGCTGTCCTCATCCCTGCCCAGCAGGCTGCAGAAGGTGTGCTGATACTTGTCCAACTCCACGTCTGATGTCCCAATGCCCACCATCTGGGAATGGGTGGCAGAGAGGCACATGGGGCCGGGGCCAGGCACCCTGCCCCTCGGGGGCACAGGGCTCCAGGTACCACCCACCCCCTCCACTTACCATGTCCGTGCCGTAGACAGGCGATGTCATCTTGATCTCCCAGAAGTGCTGGCCCTCGCCCAGCTCCTTGGTGCCGCGAATGGCCGCCGTGCCGCAGCTATACTCCACGTGGAAGCTCACCTTGCGGTTGTCACAGCTGAGCAGGGTGGCTGAGGACTTGTTGAGGTTATCCCAGACCCAGTCAAAGTCTGTGGGGACAAGAAGCCAACTGAGGTGGACTACCACTCTGAGCCCATGCTCGTCCCACCGTTCCCCAAGATCCTGCCACCACCCCACCCTCACTCATGCTAGTCCCGCCCCCTCCAGCGCAGTGCCGCTGTCCTGTGCTCACTCACATGCCTTCCTCCTGCCATGGCCCCCCTCACCATGCAGCATCCGTGCTGGTCCTCCTGCCCCAGCACCCTGTCCCACCCCGCGCTCGCTCACGCTCGTCTTCCTCCCCGCAGCGGCAGTCTCTGCCACGGTGACTGCCACTGTGTCGACTGCTGCAAAAGGTGACCTCGCTCTGGCTGTCACAATCACAGAAGGACTCCCCGGTCACAGGCACAGCACTGGGGATGGACATCTGCAGGGATGGGAACTCGGGATCGGAGTCCGAGTCACTGTGCTGGAGGGAAAGGCACGCACTGTCTGCCTCAGCCCCTAAGGCCCTGCTGCTCCCCTGTGGTCAGGCCTCACAAACCCCACATCCACACAGCCAGGGCCACACTGCTCCCTTCAGGTGAAAGAAAAGCCAGCCAATGGGGCACCCCATGGCATCCAGTTAGGGTTCAAGGCTTGGTATAGTGCCTGTCAGCATCCCGTCCTGAAGACCACCCACGTAGGGGAGGGCCTCTGAAGCCATGTAGGTCCCTCTACACTCCAGGCCAGTCCCTAGTGGCCTGGGCACCAATGTGTCTGTTCCCCCTCTGTGAATAGCACACCACCTTGTGACTGTACTGTGCTCCTTAATATGACTTTGATAGTCACCTGTCACCTGGCAGAAGCCTGGACCCTCTGTTCCATTTCTGTCACTCCAGAACCCAGCACCTGGCCACAGTTAGCAGTTAAACTGACTGAGCGGATAAAATTTGACAGCAAAGCTGAAGTGGAGAGATGGATGTCTACAGGCTGTCATGGATGGACATGGCTAGTGGCCAGCATGCACCCAGCAGGAAAAGGGAAGGGGCAGACCTCCAGAAGGCCCAGGGAACTGTCATGGTCAGGCTGGGCCCATTTGAAGACAGGCTGTGACCCGCTGCAGGGAACAGAGTTGGGAGCCAGGGGCTCCATCCCCAGCTAGCCTACTCCAGCCTGAGGCCTCTGCCAGTGAGCCAGGGAGAGGGGCATTAGCTCTTCTGAGGATCTGCCCATAGGCTTGTGAGGCCCATTAGATGATGGGGACAGAGAGCATGAGTGTGTCACATCTAGTCAGCAGCAGTCACATCTTGAATCTCACAGAGGTTAGTCACCTGTCACCTCTAGACAAGGACTGCCTGATGTGAGGGAGGGACAAGAATGAAGCTGAACCTCCATCTGGACAGGGCTCAGACAGGCCCCTGGGCTCTGTAGCCACTGGTGGGGAGAGGTGCCCACCCCTTCTAGCCCAGGGTACTGGGCCAAGTAAGTTCCCTAAGAGGCAGACCTGAAGACAAGTGGAGGACTGAGTCAGTGTTACTATATTAAAAAATCAAAACTGCCTGAGACCCCATGCTTCCTGGCCTCACTGAACCCCTGCCCCTACGCCCTGCCACTCATCCTGCCCTGGCTGCAGCCAATCTGAACAGAGCTCTCTGGTGGATACCTCTTCATTCCTGATCACTGGGAGCCAAAGCTTTCCTCCCACACCTACACAGGCCATCTGTACAGACCAGGGAAATAGTTGGAGAGATGGGCCCCAACTTAACAATGGCTCCCTTTTGGAAACAAGTCAGATGAATGAAACAAAAATTTTTGTTGAACAAACTGCAAAGTGTCTATGACCACAGCCTTTTGCCGACATTTGGGTTCCAGAGGAGGGACAAGCATCCTGCAGCTGGGCCTGATATCCCTGGTAAGACTTGGGTAAGGAACCTCCTCCAGGAGAAGTGTGCCCAGAGGGCCTAGCAGTCCCTGGACCTGGGCCATCCCTCTTTCCAGCTGGACTTGGGACATCCCTCTTTCCAGCCCTATGCAGTTATGCTGACCTCAAGCCTCAGTCCACCAGTCCCTGCTCACCAAGGGGACATACCTGACCATCAGAGTCGTAGCCCCAGTTAGTAGTGCCAGCCAGAGCCACAGCCCGGGCATCAGCATCTCGACGAGCTGCACTTAGGACAAAATGCCAAGCCCGGCTGCTCCGGGGCCTCCTGGCCATGGTGGAGAGAACCTGGAAGAAAACACCACAGGTTGTGAGCAAGGAAGCCCCCAAGATGCAGACTGGCTCCCAGATGCCCTGGGACTCATCCAGAGGGGAAGCATCTTCATGAGGACTCTCCATATAAGCCCCTACCTCACTCCAGTATGTGAGCACTTCAATAAAAGCCAAGCAGATGGAGTGCAAGGCCATCCACATGCCCATGGCTCTCCACACCTCCAAGGCTGTCGCACCTACCCTGACTTTTCCCCTTGGGTGTCTCTGCCTGGGCAGGCTCCTCCTCCAGTGTCCAGTATGGCAAATGGCATTTCCATCTACCCAGTTCCTCATACCAAACAGGAGTCACCCCTGACACCTTACTCACCGCATGCCCCACCTCAACCAGCACCTTCAAGAACATCCCTTTGTGTCCGTCACCTCCATTCCTACCTGGTACCTCCCCTGGACCAAACACGGTACTGTCATATGTCACACACCATTGTGTCACAATATTGACAGGCAAGTACTGTGCTCAGAATAGCAAATTACTAACAAGCAAGAATATACTTGCACAAAGTATAAAGTAACCAGCACTGCACAAGTCCTTCCCTGTCACCTTTCCACATCCCTCCCTCAAACAATATAGCAAACTAGCCAATAAATAAATGTTGGATCACTAATGTCAGTGCGGGGTTGAGCCTACTAACTTCTGACAAGGATGTTTCAGGTTCCAGGTACACACACCCCTTTGCCTTGTTCTCTTCCCTCACAGTTCCTGGGCAACACAGAGAGATAAGCTCTGACACCAGAGCCACATCATGCCTTCAGGCTTTGTTATTGTTCTTGAGATAAAATGCAAAATTCCTCGGAACCTCATCTGCCTCAATTTAGTCATCAGTTTGATCCCACCCTCCCCGGCTCCAGTTTCCAGTTATCCAACCCACCCAACACAGTAGCAGTACCGGGTTTTCTGCGATGGTCTGGCTCTCATCTGTCCACAAGCAGAAAGCCTGTTGAAGCCAGGCGCCCAGAAGGCATCCAGTGGTCTCAATGAATGTACTCCGCGGAAGTTCCCTCATCCAAGCTTACTAGCTATGACACCTTTTCCTAGTGGTAAGAGTCCTGCCCTCTGCCTCCCTCTGGCCATTACCCCTATCAGCAGTTACAATTATCCCCCTGAATTCGCTACATTTGTAGCACGTAGTGTGAGGCAGGTGACTTCCCCTTAGCAGCTTGTCACAGCCGAGACCAGCAACGCGTTACCGCATCTCCAAAGGAGAGTGCCTTAAGAGAGCCCTGGCGGTTCAGTTCGAACCCATCAGACACACTCAGCAGGAGGAAGAGCTAGCGACGTGCGTCCATGAAGACTTAGAGTCTTCAGGACTCTAGTCTGCCCTATCCTACGTGAACCAATTAGCTGGGCAGTTAGGGAAGTATTTCCCGGTTTTCGCGGATTCCACTGATTTCAGTGTGAGGGTGCTATTTCCGTAAGTTGTTCACAAAATCAGGGAAGAGGAACTCTTCTTCCATCTGGAGGTAGTCCGTGGGGACAAGGCGCGGGCCAGGAGCAGGGGCCGCGCCCGGGGAAACAAAGACTGGGCTCACCCGCCCGCAAGGTCAGCGGCACGCCCTCCCAAGCCCGCGGTTCCAGCACAGGCCTGACAGCGCCGTTGCGCTCACCTGGAGCTGCTCCGCCGCCGCCGCGCTCCCCGCCCGCGATGACCTACTTTCCGCTTTAAGCGAGACGTAAACAATCCCCGCCCCGCGACGCATTGGCCCTGCTGCGGGGAGGCGGGTTTCTCGAAGCTGCTCGAGCTTCGGCCAGGGGGCGGGACTCTGGAGGCACGCGTCCGGCCGACAGGCTGCAGGGTCCATCAGTTCTGAACCGACGCCCCTATTGGTTTCACCTGAAACCGGCAGCGAGAAGGGCCACGCGCCTATTGGACTTCAATAGTGGATGGGAGGCGGTCTCAGGTAGGGGCATTGACTAGGAAGCAGGCGCCGGAAGTATCGAGCACCCTAGGCAGTCTGATTGGCTAAAGGGAAGTGGGGCTAGCCCTATGAGGAGGAAGCAGGGCGCCAACAATCGGCCCGAGGACTCGTCGTTCCAGCTCGGAGGCGGAGGCCGGAAGCCGGGAAGCATGAGCGTCGGCGGGATGGAAGCGGTAGTAGGTGAGTGTGTGGCCTTCGTGGCTGGTTCGGGAGTGGATCGGGACAGCTTGGCCACGACCTCGCTGTGCGGCTTCTTGGGACAAACCCTAGCCTGGAGCCCAGAGGGAAAAAGACATAGCAAGTAGCGGAAAACTCACAAAGTCAAAAGGCCAGAAGTTAGGGTACACGATGAGAACTTCCACGATTTGCTGCCGGTATCTCTCCAGGAACTTTTCTTACGGAATGGAAAGGCACCTTTTGCATGTGCTTGGGTTGTCGAGTATCCCTAATTTGACTGGGATTTGAGCAGCTGACCCGAGCATGCCACGGCAAATGGGGCTACCGTCCCCGCTTGGGATGGGTTAAATGTCAACTGCCTTTTTCCAAGGCTGTGAATCTTTACGGAGGAAGATGGCCTTTCGGTTGGCGGTCGAGCGCTTTAACCAATGCGCAACCTGGACTCCACACACAACAAACTCAGAAAAATATGTTATCCTTTATATTTACTAACCTAACCCCCCTGTGGGAGAGATGAGGCTGTCTGGTCCTATAAATAAAATTTTGGTTTGCGCAACCTGGACTCCACACACAACAAACTCAGAAAAATATGTTATCCTTTATATTTACTAACCTAACCCCCCTGTGGGAGAGATGAGGCTGTCTGGTCCTATAAATAAAATTTTGGAAACGCCGTGGGACAGTTAATTCCCTTTCATAGGATTGCTGTGTTTGATAAATGTCGATAGTTATAGAAAGGCTTCCGGCCTTTCTTCATAGGGTCGCTCGCTATGAGTCGTGCTCGACTCGAGGCAATCTACAACAGTGAAGTAGAAATCACTTGATGGTTTTGGATTTGTTTTTGGTTTGGTGACTGACTTCTAGCAACTCTTAAGAAGGATACTGCTCCCCTGCAGTACTTGCCTTGTTTTTTGTCATTGCTCCCTTTCTTCCCAAACCCACTGAGCTCAGTTCTAGCTCCTAGGAACTCAGGAAAGCAGAGTAGAACTGCCCATATAGAATTTTCAAGGCTTTTTCAACTTTTCTTTTTTTTATGGTACTATTTATTGAGGTTTAATTTACATACAACAAAAATTATCTGTTGCCACTATTCAGTTGAAAACCATTTCTGGCTTCCCAAATAGCCTCGCCAAACATCATTTGGTTCAAAAAGCACACTATGCAAGGATACAGTATCAAAACTGGCTTCCCTTACACCTCACTGACCTATATAGTCAGCTTCCCTTGTCAATCTTCTATACTTGTGTGTACCCTTTCCTACCCTTAATCCAACAGTGTTCATTATTTCCCCACACCATTCTGGGTGAAAAACCTCCACCGTATTTCCTCTATCTAAACTTTTCTGTAGTGTTTCTCCGTACAACAACACTTAGTTCATTTGTGACTTGCTTCACTATGTCCTGTAGACTCATCCAAGTAGAGTAGTGTTTCCTAAAAGCCAGTTGAATCAATCAATCCTTTGAAGTATGGCAACTTTCTATGAAGTTCACAAAATAGGATCCCCCACCCTTTATGGAGATATTTTATGTATATAAGGATTTCTTTTCTAGAAGGTTCAACCGTTTTATCTTCTATTGGTTGCACATTATGGCTGTGTGAGAGCTTATCCATACTGTAGGCTGTTGGGTATTCTGTTGAGTTGGAACCAACATCTGGCCCTTCAGGGGCTTTTCAGAGGCAGAAAAATCACACAGAAGGAGACTGCCTGTATTTCTTCTGTGGAGCAATTGGTGGATAAGAGCCGAGAGCACAATTTGGCAACACAACTCCTTAGCACTTAAGCCACCAAAACTCCCTATGCTGTAGATCAGGGCTCCTAAATTTATATATATTTTTCCCTAATGGTCTTCAGTTCAGTGGTTCTGATCCTTTTTTACAATGTTTATTTCTATAAATGGGGTTGAAGACTGGTTTTACCATAGAATGGGTTTTGGTATGTGGTTTTCATTCTCATGTTTCATTTCACTTAACTCCGTATCAGTATATTTCTTTTGGCTTCCTGTCAGAGAGTCACTGGATGGGCAATCTGGTCTGCTTTTCTATAAGAAGGCTTGTTTTGTCCTTTCATAATGTTTGAACTTGACTGCAGCTCCCTCGGCATTGTAGAAGGCTCTTTTTGGTGTGTGCTGATTGTACTCTTTCCACATGGTAGTAATAATTTTGCTTACTGTGTTTTATTTGTGGTTTCTAAACTATCCTTCAGCTTTTGTAATTTCCAAGCTACATATTGTTGGAAATACTCCACACCGTCAAATAACTTCTGAATTCCTGACTCTGGGATAATCAGAGGGGTGAACTGCTGGTCTGCTTCATTCAGAGTATGTTGAGTTTTTTTCATGTTTGAACCTGACAGCTCCTTCTTTGCCATTATGTGAGGTTCTTCTTAGTTCCCCAATTTCAGATTCTAGAATTATCGTCTGTAGCTGGCTTTCCTGGTGTTTGCAGTAGACAACTGGTTTTTCTTTTTTTTTAAATTTTATTTTATTATTTTTGTGTGAGTGTACCATCAAATCAGATCTGACTGGTACAGGAGGAGATTGTCCCTCCTTCCCCGGCAGAGCATCTGGTGGATTTGAACCATGCACCTCTGGGATTGTAGTTGCGGCTCCTTACCACTAGGCCACCAGAGGTCCCCAGACAACTGGTTTTTCAGTCCTACTAGCTCACTATCCAAAAAATTCTTCTATATAGCTTTACTTGAGAAAGAATGTCTTCCAAGCAGCAGCTCTGTAGTTCACCAGCAACTTGAGTTCACTACAGAACCTAACCACTTCCCAATGTTTTCCTTTACTATCTCTTCAGTGGTAGGTTAGTGGTAATGAGTTGCCCTGAGAAGCAAAAGGCAATCAGTTCCACCAGCCACTCAAAAATATTCAAGCCAAATTCATTCCATGTAGTTCACTCCTGAAGTATCCAAGTATCAGCAACGTGAACTCAATCCTCAGCTGAGTGCAGAGGCACCGCCCGAAAGCCTTTTTCAACTTTTAACGGGAGGAGTTTGCTCATAGACTTAATCCTTCAGAGTGACTGATGGGTTTGAATCACCAACCAGCCTTTGTCTGCTGGGAACTAGGAAACCAATACCAAATGCACTGTACCACCAGAGCTCCCCCGCCCACCCGCAGGTAAACTCCCAGTAATGATGAGAACAGGTTACCCTTTCCCAGGTGGCACAGGTGGTCACTGGCTGAGCGAGACTCTACCTTGCTGTGTCGCCAGTGTTTTCAGCACCCCCCCAGCTCTGCCCCGTGTGTTCCCACACACCTGCGGTGATGTGTCACTTCAAGTCATTGATGGGCAGCGCCAAGGTCATGGTGTCATCTGAACAAGATGAAGTCCTGCCAGGAGGCCAGGCCCTGAGAGTGCCTCAGGTGGATATTGAGGGGTGGGAGGAGGGACAGGATTCCACTCAACCTCCTTCAAGCACACGTTGGCCAGTATCCAGAAGAGCAGCTGGGAGGAGGGAGCGGCAGGCACAGTCAGCCAGAAGCACTGCAGATGCACTGTGTTTTGTGACTCTGGTTCACATCATTTCAGATTCAGTGGAAGGAAAAGGAGCAGGGTGGGTAGTTGCCAGAAGACTCAGAGGAGACCTAGCTTTCAGGGTGTGGTCTGGGGGTTGTGTTACCAAGACCACAAGAGTGTACACTCAGCCAGTTGGGCAGTGCTGACCCAGGGCTGGTGCTTGTGTAACAGGTACCAACACTACCCTCTGCTAACCCTTTCCCAGTGTCTGTCTCAAGGGCCTCTCTGCACTGCTCTAGGGTCTAGAAGCTGGGTGGGGGGGTGGAAGGCGGTGTCTTCAGGCCCAAACTCAAGCACACCTGGGACTGGAGTCATGGAGGGAGATGCTGCTTCCTTCAGAAACAGGTGAATCTGGGGTCTCAGAAGAGGGCAACTGCAGGTTTCCATCTGTTTCTCGTTTAGAATTAGAGGGAGCTTGCCCAGCTGCTAGCTGAAGGTGGGCAGATCTAACCCACCAACCACTCTGTGGGAGCAAGATGTAATAGTCTATTCTTGCAAAGACTCACCTACATTGCCATCAAGTTGATTCCAACTCGGCAACCCTACCTCAGGTGTCCTAAGCAGTAAGTCGCAGTAAGCAAATGAGAGACTGCCCATTTTTTTCCATCAGAGTCACTGATGACTTCTGAGACACACAGAATTTGTACCAGAGATACACAGCCTTTGCGTTAACAGCAAAACTCCCAATGGACTGCTCCATCAGAGGTCTGTCCCATAAAGATTATAGCCTAGGAAATTCTATTAGGCAGTTCTGCTCAGGCCTTCAGAGTCGCTGTGAGTCGGGATTGACTAGACAGCAGTTTTGGGTTTTTTACAACTCAGGCTAGTGTCATTTTCCTACTATGAATACTCACACATGGGTCACATATGCACGTGTATGTGCACATGCATGTTCTAAAGAGGCTTCCTGCCCCCCCCCCGCAGCCAAGCTCCATGTAGCAGTGGGTGCAGTTGGTCACATGTAGGACTGTGGCTGCACAGAAGTGGGGTGCACAGTGAGCCCTTGGGTTACAGCGTGGAATGGCCTGCATTGTGGGGCCCCTGATGTCCTCATCATTTATCCTGACAAGAGTCTGGGAACCTGGCCGGCGTCAGGCACATCATCCTGGTGCTCTCAGGCAAGGGTGGCGTAGGGAAGAGCACCATCTCTACCGAGCTGGCCCTGGCCCTCCGCCACATGGGCAAGAAGGTGAGCCCCCCGCCTGTGCTGTGCCCTGCCTCACTGAGCCTTAGCCCCGCCCCCACCCTAGAGCCCCACCCCACTGAGCTGTAGCCCTGTCCCCACTGGGTCAAGTCCCCTCCATGCCCCTGCTCTCAGCACCCGCACCCCCCGTGCCACACCTCTCAGCATTATACATCCCACCTAACACTTTGTACCCCCTCCCAGCATCATGTTCCCCCCCGCAGGTCTCTTCTCCCCCTTACCACGTCCCCTGGTATACCTCCCTTTGCCTCTCCCCTCCCTCCGTTCAACTATATTCCCTACCCAACCCTAAAGTGCTCACTTGCTGGCACACCCCCCCCCCCATCCACAGGTGGGCATCCTGGATGTGGACCTGTGCGGGCCCAGTGTGCCACGCATGTTCCGGGCACAAGGCTGTGCTGTACACCAGTGTGACAGCGGCTGGGTGCCTGTGTATGTGGATCAGGAGCAGAGTGTTGCACTCATGTCCGTGGGCTTCCTGCTGGAGATGCCTGACGAAGCTGTGGTGTGGAGGGGTCCCAAGAAAAATGGTAACAGTGCCCAGAGCATTATCCACTGTAATGGAGAATTGGTGATGAATTGGCAGTGGGTGGGCTTGAAAAAGGTCAGAAGGCTTTGCCACAGGGACATGTGGTTAAGGCCTTTGTCCCTGAGTTGCTGGCTGTGGGATGGAGCCTTTATTGGGGTCAAGGAGCTGTGTTGCCATTGGTAGCAGCAGAGCTCATGCATCAGATCCAGATGTCTGCCTCGATAGATGTCACTAGGTGGCCCCTGCATGTGGCAGAAAGCAGGGACACTGACTGGGCTATCTGGACGTGTCCTCCTGGCAGCGTGCACTTGAGGCTTTGGGAGGAGGCATTTCCTCTGGGCACACCCTGAAAGAGCCCCTGAAGGTGGTGTGCTTCCACACAGCGCTTATCAAGCAGTTCCTGTCTGATGTGGCCTGGGGGGACCTGGACTTCCTGGTGGTGGATACGCCTCCAGGGACGTCAGATGAGCACCTCTCCGTGGTGGAGGCCCTGCGCCCCTACCAGCCTCTAGGTGTCGTACTGGTCACCACTCCCCAGGTGAGGCCATGCCCGTAGTGAAACCCATCATGTGCCCCATCCCCCACCCCGCCCCAGTGAGTGAGTCTGCACAAGATGAGATGACAGCCCCTTCTGCAGCAGGCTGAGGTGTCCCCCTCTTACGGGCAAGTGGGCACCCTGTGGAGCTCCAGTGGCTGTCCTGCCCTCAGGCGGTGTCTGTTGGGGATGTGCGGCGGGAGCTGACCTTCTGCAGGAAGACGGGGCTGCATGTACTCGGCGTGGTGGAGAACATGAGTGGTTTTGCATGTCCACACTGCGCGGTGAGACCCTGGTCCTGGATGGTTGGGACAGGTAGGGGCACGAGGGGCCTGTGCTCACACCCCTTGATCTAACCCAGGAGTGCACCAATGTCTTCTCCACTGGCGGTGGGGAGGAGCTGGCCAAGCACGCAGGGGTCCCCTTCCTAGGTGAGTGCCTATGTCTCCTCTGGGGGAAACTGGGGTGGCCAAGCTGCTGGGGACCCCAGGATGCAGAGGCAGAATGGCCCTTCCTTACTTAGCTGTTCCTCAGGATTCCCTGCCAGGAACCCTAGATTCTGGAGTTTGCACATACACCCAGGAGACATCTGTACCCTAGTGGGGATGGTCCCCTATAGAACACCCACCCCGGAGTCAGCCCAGCCAACAGGGAAGCATCTGCTCCATTGAGGGTGGGGATGGACCCTTGGTTCTGCTTCCTCTCCTCATGCCTCCTCCTCTCCACAGGCTCTGTGCCCCTGGACCCTCAGCTGGCTCAGAGCCTGGAGGAGGGCAAGGACTTCATCCGGGAGTTCCCCAAGAGCCCCGCCTTCCCAGCGCTGGCCTCCGTGGCACAGAAGATCCTGGACGGGGCGCAGAAGCAGGGCCCTGACTAAAGCTTTGCTGCTGAGCCCTTCTGGTGCCTCTGAAGTCACACGCCTGCAGCCAGGCAGGGTGGCACCTGGGGCCAGACGTGTGATACCTATAGTACTCAGTGTGGTCGCTGTGCCTGTCCTGACCGACACTGACAGGGTCATGGACACTGGTAGCAGGATCTACAGAGACAGTGCCGCACCCCCTACCTTGGCACCTGTGTCCCCGTGGGATGTCGAGTGCTGGGCTGGAAACACCTCTTTTGTCCTTGTTGGCTGCAGTACTGCCCGTACTGAGAACCAGAATTAAACAGGCAGGTTATACATGTGTGACTTCTTGGACCTTTTGACCAGTTATCCCTCCAGACTATGTATCTGCCTCAGTGAGTCCAGGGGACGCATGGTGGAGCTAAAGGTGGTGGCACCTAGGGTGAAATGATGAGAGAAACACATGACTGAGGTCAGCACTGGCACCTCAGAGTGACAGCCCAAGGGGCCTGTGAACCCTTTCCACATGAGCAGGGGACCTGCACTTTCCTGAGCCTCTGCCCACGGAGTGTACTGGCAGAGTGGTGGTACATGCTGTGTCCCCAGTGAAAGGTGTTGGAGCAGCCCTTGGCCTGGAAATGGGATAGGCATGGATGGGGGTGAGGGGTCTCCTGGCCTTCCTGTCGGCAGGTGGGCCTTACTTGAAGTGTGCTTGAGGCTGGGGTGTGTGCAGAAGGAGGAGGGAGGTCTCGGTCCCACCTCCTGGTCAAGGCTCACTGGGCAGTGCTGCGCCCCTGCAGCATAGACCACAGGGTCGAGTGTCAGGAAAGAGGGCTGTTGGCCGGGCTGCCTCATTTCTTTCTGGCTTCTTAGGGCCCTTGTGGGGGAGACCAAGTGATGTGACTTGGATGTCCTGGGAGCAAGAGAACCTAGGAATTGTCCCCGAGGGGGCTGTAGCAGGGGACAGGACTTCAGGAAATCCCCATGTCTGGGGGTCTTTAGAACGCTGAACTGGTGTGTCCCATTCCCCTGGTGACACTTGTCATGGGCAGTGGTTGTCAGATTGCTTTAATTGACAGTGGCCCAGGTGGGGCCTGGGGGTGGTCACTCTGCCCTGACTCCCCGTCAGGCCTTGAGAACAGGCCATTTGGTGCCCACACAGCCCCCAAGAGTGGTGACCAGTGCTGCCCACAGGCCTGTCTGCTCTCCAGAGGGACAGCCTTCTCTGGCACGAGGGTCCCCCTCCATTCCAAGGTCAGCAGTGAGCAAAGTAGGCCTCGCTCAGGTCCCGTAGATCGAGGCCCGCCACTGCCGGTGGCCCCGCACAGGTGATGTTGTTGTAGGTGTACACAGGCAGCTGACGGTCGTCGCCTTCAGCAGCCGCCTGCACAGCACGAGGCACGGCGCGCGGGTTCCGCCGAGCGAAAGCCCACAGTGGCCGGAGAGTGCAGCCACAGGCCCAAGGGTTGCTGTCCAGCCAGAGGCGCTCCAGGCCAGGGGGCTGCGGCACGAAGGTGTGCAGCGAGTTGTTGCGCAGGCTTAGGTATCGCAGCTGTCCCAGCGGCGCCAGCAGCCCCTCGGCCAGGCCCTCCAGGCAGTTGTGGGATAGGTCCAGCCAGAAGATGTGCTGCAGAGGCCGGAGTGTGTCTGGGGCCAGCTTGGCCAGCTGGTTGTGGGCCAGGAGCAGGTACTCCAGCTTGCTGAGGCCCAGGAAGAGCTGGCGTGGTAGGTGGACCAGGCGGTTGGCCGTGAGGTCCAGCTCCAGCAGTTCAGGCAGCCCCTGCAGGCTCTGCTCGTCAATGACTGAGATGGTGTTGTCTCGGAGAAAGAGGCGGCGCAGGCCTGCTAGGCCTGCAAAGGTGTAGGGGCGCACGTGGCCCAGACAGCTGCTCTCCAAGTGCAGGCTGTGCAGGTGGCCCAGGCCCCGGAAGACCTGCTCGCCCAGGTTCCGGAGGCAGTTTCCTGAGAGGTTCATGACGGCCACATTGGGCAGCCCCAGGAAGGCGCCAGGCCGAAGCTCCTGCAGCTGGTTGTGGTCCAGCGTGAGTACCTCCAGCTGGCCCAGGCCCTCGAAGGTGTGCTCAGCCACCTGGTGGATGCGGTTGTGGCCAAGCCGCAGCTCCTCTAGGAAATGCAGGTCTTTGAAGGTGCGTGGCCGCAAGCTAGTTAGCACGTTGTGGGAGAGACGCAGTACGCGCAGTGCCAGCAGGCCTGGGAAGGTCTCGGCGAAGAGGCTGGCCACCCGGTTGTGGGACAGGTCAAGCCAGCGCAGGGCCCTCAGGCCCAGGAAGGCACCGGGTGCCACACTGGACACCAGGTTGTGGTGCAGGTAGAGCTTCTGCAGCTTGGGCAGCTGGATGAAGACACCGGCCTTGATGCTGTGCAGCGTGTTGCGGCTCACATCCAACTCCTGCAACTCGCCCAGGCCACAGAACAGCGGCGGCTGCAGGTAACTCAGTCGGTTTCCGGCCAGCACTAGTTCTCGGAGGCCAGCCAGGCCCCGGAAGGCACCGTCAGGCAGCACGACCAGGCTGTTCCAACCCAGGTTGAGGGTCCAGAGACGCTGCAGGCCAGCAAAGAGACCCTCATCCAGCCTGGCCAGCAGGTTATGGTGCAAGCTGAGGGAGGCCAGGCCAAGTGTGTGCGCAAAGGTGCCAGCAGCCAGGCTGCGCAGCTGGTTCTGTTCCAGGTGCAGGTGGTAGAGGGCACCCAGACCCAGCAGCGCACGGGGCTCCAGGCTGCTCAGCTGGCTTCCCTGCAGGTTGAGGAAGTCCAGACCAGACAGGTTTTGGAATGCGGCTGCGGGGATGCTTGTCAGATTGTTGCAGTCCAGCCATAGGGCCTTGACGTCCTCTGGGATGCCAGCAGGCAGCTGCGTGAGGTTTCGGGCACTGCAGAAGATGCTGAGTTCATCCGTATAATCGTCGTAGCTGCAGGCACACATGGCTGGGCACCGAGGGCCCTCGGTGTCCCCCTCTGCTCCAAGCCCTGCACCCTCCTGGCTGCCGCTGCCCGTCACTGCCCAGCACACCAGCAGCGCCAGGGCCAGGCCTCCTGTGGTGAAGGCAGAGCTGGAGCCTGTGGCCTTCTCAGACTTGGTCCAGCCACTTCTAGGGATGGGCTTGGGAGGCAGTGAGGGGGCCCAGGGTTAGGGGCAGTGCTGAGGCTCAAAATGTCCCTGCCACCAGCTCTCAGACCCACAGGCCACCATGCAAGCTGAGATGCTAGGAGGCTGAACAGCTCAGAGCTGCGCAGTCAGCTGGTTCGAGTGGCCAGCACCACAGGACATGGAGCTCAGCTGGGATGGCATCTGCTGGGTTACACATCAGCCCCAAGTGGGCAGGCTGGGCCCTGGAGGTGACCGATGCCAGCCATGTGGCCATCTGTGTCCCTGGAGGGACACGTCAGCTGGGCACAGCTGCCACAGATCTGTGGCCACTGCTGGAATGTTCTGGAGCAGGCTCCAGCGAGGTTTTTACCGCCATTGGGGCTTAGATGGTGAGCTGATACCTTTGTTGGGCTAGGCCCCAGGTGACAGGGCTCATCCTGGTCACTGCACCAGTGGGTGTGACCTGAACTGGGGGACTTGGTGCTGAGTGCGGGCAAGAGGGGTAGACGGACCACAGGCCGTCGGCCAGGCAGGTCAGGTAAGACTCAGAGGGCTTGGTTCCTCCTGCCCAGAAGCTGTGGCTCCTATATCCTGTGCTGAGTCGAGGTAGCACCCTGGGGTGCCCCAGAGCGCAGGGGGCTCCCCACTTGCCCAAGATGGCCTCTGAGCAGCCAGGGAGAGTGGACCCTGTCCTCATCCTCTACCAGCTGGTCCAGTGAGGGGGGTCCCTGGCCAGACCCACATACTGGGCATTGCTACACACAGTCATCCTGCCCAAGGTGAGGAACTTGACTCCCTGGGCTGCTGCACCCCTTAGGGTGGGAGGGACTGGTCAGAACAGTGGTTGTCAACTCACAGTGACACTGGTGTGTCAGAGGAGAACTGTGTATGACAAGGACTTCAGGAGAGCACCAGACCTTTTTTCTGAGGTGCTTCTGGGCAGACTCGAAGCTCCCACCATGCAGTTAGTGATTAGGAGGGGTGGGGCCGGAGGGTGAACAGAGCCTCCAGCTCCAAGTGGGCTGCACCCCTACAGCGTTCCCACCAGGCACTCCCCAGTACCCCCCTCCAGGCTGGCCGTGACCCTAACCCTCCCCCGAGGCTCACCTCTGCTCAGGGCCATTGCCTCGTGGTCAGCAGCCGATGGGCAGTGCGTCTGCTGGGTCAGTGGCGCCTGCTCTCTGGACAGCGCACTGAGCGCCAGCACCCTGACAACCGGCCAGCTGCTGCCCGGCCCCTTAACCCCCTCGTGCCGGGCAGCCAGCGTCCGCCTGGGGGCTGGGGTGCAGGGAGAGCTGTGGGGGCCCTTGTCTGCCCAGAGTCTCCTGTCAGAATAGGCTGTAATGTGACTCTTAGGACACATAGGCCGGTGCCCTGTCCTCTGACCCCTGTCCCCCTGCACAACTGGCTGATGAGAAATAGGTGGGCCAGTGGCAGGGGTGCTCCTGGGGTGAATGTGGGGACTGGGAGAGGAGACCCCAGGCTGGGCAGCATTTCAGGGGGCTTGGGGGCCCTCACCCATGCCCAGCAGACAGCTGTGTTGAGGTGAGCTGTGTGACACTGCCTACATTATCTTAACAGCCAGGTGGCATCAGCCACTCAACCTGTAGCCTGGCCCAGCCCCAGCCTCAGTGGTGACCTCAGGTTGGCTGCAGTGTGGCCAGCCCCCCCTTTCTAGGAATGCCTCGGGCATTGCTTGTTCTCAGGGGCCTTGGAACCTGGGGTCCCCTCTGCACACATTGCTCTTTGCCATCCCCCAGGCTCCTGAAGGCTGCGCCCCAGTACACTGCTCCCCCTGAGATCTGCTCTGAGGTAGTCTCCCCCAGCCCAGGGGACTGTGCCTCCCATATGGTGTTGGGCTTGAGGAGGCTGAGGGAGAAGCCCAGCATAGTCTGCAGGACAAGGGTGGGCAGTGGGGACCAAAGCCAGGGCCGTCCACCCAGCAGCCCTACCTGCCCCCCTAAAGCAGCACAGGGTGCTGGCTTTGACTCCACTCTGCTAGGGTTTGACTGTCTTCCAGGCTGTTCTTCAGGGTCTCTTCTGAGAAATTATAGATCCAGAGGGGAAAGTCCAGGTCCAGGAAGGCCCGGTGAGTTTACCCAGAGAAAGTGCTGACTCAGCAGGAGCCAGGCCAGTGGGAGCCGGGGGAGGTGGTGTGGGCCAAAAGGGGTGCAGGCTGGGGTGGGGGTACAGGCCAGCAGGGGCTGGGCAGGGGTGTGGGCAGGGGGAGGGAGTAAGGGCCAGGCAGGGGTGCAGGCCAGTAGGGGCCAGGTGGGGGTGTAAACCTGGTGGGGGCAGGCAGGGGTGCAGGCCAGGCAGGGCTGGTGAGGGCCACATGCTCTTCCACCACTGGTTTCTGTAGGGGTGCCCCGTTGGGATCGGGCAGCCTGGCCATGCTGTGTGGACAGGCCTCGTGTCCAGAGGTGCTCAGGGTGACAGCACACTTGTCCCAGCCGACCCCAAGCCCCTGCCCTGAGGAGTCTGGCTCTGCCTTGGTGACAGGAAGCATGTCACGTGGGACGCCTGGCCTTCCGACAGTGCTGCCAGGGCCTCGCACAGGCCTGCAGGGCACTGCGGCCACTGGGCTGGCCGGGCACCGTGTCCTTGCCCCAGAGCTCTGCTGCCCTGGCTGGGTGGTATGGACAATGACCCTCTCTGACCATTTCCTCAGTGCTCACATGACCGAGCCCCCCTCCAGAGCTCCTCAGCTCCAGCCCTCGGGGGCCCCCATCCCGAGGAGCAGGTACCCATCTCCTGCCTCTAGCAATTTTAAGGGAGTGAGTTCTGGCTTCGCTCTGTTGTGAGCGCGTGTGTACGTGGAGGACACCTGGAGGAACTTGTGCTTGCATGTGGTCCCATTGGACCTGCTGCTGCCGAGTGGACTCCCCCTCCCCGCGGCTCCGGCCCAGAGCAGAAGGGCCGTGGAGTTCCCGCGGCGCCACCTTCACAGAGGCCGACTGCCTAGCCTTCCTCCTGTGACGAGGTCAGCCACCAGCCTGGTACTGCGCCCCAGGCCCCTCCTCCGTTGGTGCCCGACTTATCAGTCCCTCCGGAATCTGGACTTTTGTGCCAACTCAGAAGGTGTCCCTGCAGAGTTGATGTTAACTTGACCCACGACATGGTCCTTCTCCTGGGTTCTCAAAAGCCTGGCAGTTCTCCCACCTCTCCACACCACCAGGGGGCAGGTGACAGCTGGCGATGCCACTGGTCTCAGAGGTGTGAGGCCACAGGTCACTCAGGCCCGCACATGGAAGCATGGAAGTGCCCTTTATTGGCAGTGATGGGCATGGGTGTGCTGGGAATGGCAACTCTGTTTTGAGGACCCTTGTAGTCCCTATTCCGTGTCACTAACTTCTTCCTTCCGTGACCCCCCCCCCCATACATGTGTACACGGACCTCCTGTGGATCTCCACAGGCTGATACAGCAAAGGGTTATCAGAGAACGGAGATTGAACACTCCCAGGTCTCAGGTCCCGTCATGTGCGGTCTCAAAAGGCTCTTATCTCAGTAGAGAAAAGGGGACCCTTAATGCAACTGAGAAATAGTCCCTAGGAGCAGAGTGAGTCTTCGTGGACTCCAGCCCCGGTACTAGGAAGCTCCTTGACTCCAGGGAAGTCCAAGATGCAGATTGCCAAGGAATGTGGGCCTCCCTCCAGAACCAACAGCCCTGAACATGGACTTGGAGCCTCGCGACCGTGAGAGGATGGGTTTTGTGTTCAAGACACTCACTTGTGGTATTCCCGTGAGAGCAGCGCCACCTGGGCACTGAGAAGAACCATTCTTTTTCCCATCAGAACATCATTTTGTTGTTGTTGAGGGTATACACAGCCAAACAGACAGCTCAAGTGTCTCCATGTGCTGCTTCAGCACCGGTGTCCTTTCTGCTTCAGGAATTTTCTGGCCTCCAGCCTGGTGCCTACTCGACTCATGTGAGTCTTCGGTGAATTAGCAGCTCCTTGGAAGGAGCCCAGTGGCCTAGTGTGTTACCTCTTGGTCTCCAGAACTTCAGAGGTTCAAATCCACCATTTGCTCCATTGGAGAAAGTAGAAGCTGTCTCCTGTAAAGAATTGGAGCTTCAGAAACCCAAGGAGGGGCTTCACTGAGGTAGAATTGACTCTGGACAGTGGGGTTGGTTTTTGCTTTGGGGGGAGTCGTGTGAGAACTGATGCCTTTGATTATGGTGTTGGCAAAGAGTACTGACTGTAGCCGCCAGAGAACAAGAAATCTGTCTCAAAAGAGTCCTTCTTAAAGGCTGTCAGGACTACTTTGGGCATCTTACTAGGAAGAGCCCGTCCCTGGGGGAGGACATCGTGTGTGGTCAGTGAAAAACTGACCCTCTGAGCTGACGAGCACAGTGGCTCTGACGGTGGGCACAGCAGAGATTGTGAGTTTGGTGCCAGCCCAGGCAGGCTTCTGTTCTGCTGGACGTGGGGTCCCTGTGAGCTGGAACTGACATGACAGCACCTAACAGGTGGGTGCTGGTGGGTCAGATGTGGGGGCCCTGAAGACCCCGGAGCTCACGGCTGGTGGTATCTTGAGCGGGGGGAGACTTACAGCCTCTGAAGTTGCAACTGGCTGGTCAGAAGTGAGATGTCACAGGTACCCCTCATCTGGTGGGCTCTTCCAGAACTCCAGGGTGGGAGTCATTGTGGGAGAACAGACGATGCTCCTGGACCCTTAAAATAAGCCATGGGACTTGAATCCATAGACACCAACCCACATCCCCTTCAAGACAGTCCACGTCTCCCACTGCTCCAAACCCTTTGGTTGGCTGTGTGTCTACCATGTGTGGGCACATGATGCGGATGGATTCCAAGCACAGCTTGTAAGAAAGCTGATGTTTTTTCACATCAGCATGTGAGGCGGGTGGGGTTTCATCTTCATGGGTGACAATGGTCGCTGCACCGCCCGCAGCTGCACTTGGCAGAAGGAGCCCCAGTATTCAGTGTGTTACCTGTTGAGCCCGTGTCTTTCTTGCCAACACTGTTGAATTTTTTCTGATTTTATTCTAGCCGTCCTAGCTGTGTGGAGGTGTAGGGAGCTCCTCAAGGTCTAGATTAACATTTTGCTCCCTAAAGGCTAAGAAGGGAGCCCTTGTGGTTCAGTGGTGGTTTTCCGCTTGTCACTGAAAGGTGGGTGGTTCGAACCTGCCAGCCACTCCTCAGGAGAAAGATGGGACAGTCTGCTTTTGTAGAGACATAGCTTTGGAAGCCCCCCGGGCACAGTTTTACTCTCCAGGGTCACAGTGATTGTCTGTCACACCTTGCACTTCTCAGCTATTTGTGTCTCTAGCTAACAAAGTTCCCTCCCTACTCTTTTTTTTTTCTTCCTATGAAAGTGTGATCTTCCCTCAACCCCCTTTTAGTATTTGTTGTTAAGTGCCATTGAGTCAACTTTGACCCATAGTGACCCTGAACTATGAACAGCAGAACTCTAGCTTGCCTTGTTCTGTGCTGTTGTCAGCTCTAATGTGTGTGTGCCTGTTGTTAAAGTCACAGTGCCAGCCCATCTCGCTGACGGTCTTCCTCTCTCTGGGTGACCCTCACTTTCCCCCTTCATGTCTCTTCCCCACAACTGCTGCTTACAACATGCCCCACATATGTGAGATGAAGTTTCATCATCCTGGCCTCTGGTTGCATGTTATCCAGGACATAATCGTACATTCTTTTGGTGGTCTGTGGGCTATTCAGTGCTCTCCTCCTCCACCACACCTCAGAGGCCTCAGTTCTTCGGTCATCCTGCTTCACTGTCCAACTCTCAGATGTGTAGCACATCATTCAAAACACCTTGGCCTGGATCAAGTGTACCTTAGTCTTTAAGCGGACATTGTTGCTCTTCAGCCCCTTGGGCCCTTGCCAGCAGATTTCCCCAGGGTGATATATCTTTTGATTTCTTGACGGCTGGTACGAAGGGTGTTGATTGGGGACCAAGTGAGATGAATTAATGGACAATTTCAATTCTTTGTCCATCTATCATGATCTATTGTCTATTGGTCTAGTGGTTAGGATTTTGTTTTGTTGATGTTGAGATGTAATCGATATTGAAGGTTGTAGTCTTTGATCTTCCATAGCAAGCGCTTCAGGTCTCCTTCACTTTCAGAGAGCAGGGTTGGGTCATTTGTGTAACGCAGGTTGTTGATGAGTCTTCACCAATCCTAATGTCACATTCTTCGTCATAAAGTTTAGCTTCCTTGTGGTACATTCACACAATGGAATACTACGCTGCATTGAAAAACAAGGAACTCATGCAATATTATTCAAAATGGGTGACCCTGGAGGACATTATGCTGAGTGAAATATCTCAGTCACAAAAGGACAAATATTGTATGGTGCCACTGCTGTAAAATTGGACTGATATCAGGGTTGGGGTAAGACTGAGGAAAACTGGATAAATTGAAACAGATGAAGGAGAGAATTTTTTAAAAGCGATGTATGCTAGGGTATTATGGTTATCACAAGAGTTCACAATGAAGGTTGCATAGTGGAATGTACTTGGGGCAGTGGGAGGGGTGCGGGGGGACTGTGTACCAGGGAGGGAGTTTTTCTTTTACTTTTCAAAGAGAGGAGTGAACTTGGTGGGGGGGAGGGCTGGGCGGGGAGAGAAGTGTAGCAATGAATGAATGGAAATCCAAAATATCTGTAAATGTTCATTAAAATGATTAAAATTAAAATTACAAAAAATAAAAAAAAATAAAGTTTAGCTTCCTGAATGATTTGTTCAGCATACAGATTGGATCGGTATGGAGAAAGTATACAACCTTGACACATACCCTTCCCAGTTTTAAACCATACATTGTTCCCTTGCTCTGTTCAGGCAGCAGCTTCTTGGTCTAAGTACAGGTTTGTTTGGTGTTGGGTTTTTTTCCCCTTCTTCTCACTTTCCCCCTCTTTTAAAAAAAAAAAAAAGAAACACTTTATGAATTTGCGTGTCATCCTTGTGCAGGGGCTGTGATAATCTTCTCTGTATCGTTCCAATTTTAGTACATGTGCTACCGAAGCGAGCGCCTAAGTATAGGTTTTATATGAGCACAATTAAGTGGGGTTGGATTCCTATTCCTCTCAATGTTTGCCATAATTTGTTATGAACCACACAATGAAATGCCTTTGCATAGTCAATAAAACACAAGAATTCTTTGCTGTCAGTTAAGATCCATCTGATATCAGCAATATCTCTGGTACCATGGCGTCTTTTAAATTTGACTTGAATTTCTGGAAGTTCTCTATTTTTTCTAGTAGTTTTTGGATAATCTTTAGCAAGATTTTACTTGCACATGGTAAGATATTGTTTGATAATTTCCATATTCTGTTGGATCACCTTTTTTTGAAATGGAAACAAATACCGATTTCTTCCATTCAGCTGGAAGCTGGTGAGCACACCCAGGATCTCATCTGTTAGCTGAAATGTGTCAAGTGATACTCCAATTCCTGGGGCTCCCCTCCCCCCAGTGCCTTCAGTACAGCTTGAACTTTTTTTCTTCAGCACCATTGATTCTTGATCACATGCTATTTCCAGAAATGGTTCAGTGCCAACCAATTCTTTTTTGGTACTGTGAAATCTGTGTATTCTTTTCATCGTCTTTTGATGCTTCCTAGAATCATTCAAGACCTAACCCATAGCATCCTTCAGACTGCAACTCAGAACTTGAATTTTTTCAGCTTGAGCTAGTTTTTCCCTTTTTATTTTCTGACTCTTGGCACATTTCATTTTAATATTTTGCTTTGCCTACTTGAGCTGCCCTTTGGAATTTCTGTTCATTTCATTTCTTTGTTTTGACTGCTCAAAGTTGTAGTGCTGTTTTCAGTCTCTTCTGACATTCATTTTGGTCCTCTCCCTCCCCCCAATCTTTGTAATGACCTCTTGCCTCTCCCTCCCCCCACCTCCCCAGTTGCTTTAATAGTTTTAGGTTTCTTCTGAGTTCATTGTTACAACTGATGAACTAATACTGATACACTGTAACACCCTAGAGTGCACAGAACCACTGGTTCCCCATTCAATTGACCCTGTGCAGTAGAGTCCCCTGGGATTGTCGAACGTGTGAACTCCTATGCCCCCATGGCCGTATCTTACAGAATAGTGTCCATGACCCCAAACCGGCTCTGGGTTCACCAATTCACTGTTCCCCTTCCTCTGCCCCTGGTCTTTTCACTGTCTCTGTAGTTCTTAATTTTCCAGATTGTCACATTGTTGGAATTGTGAATATAACATGGATGAAAGGGAGTGTGTCTGTACTCAGCAGTTGTGAGTAAAGCCCCCCTAAGATTTCTTGGGTTTTAATGTGAACTACTTTTCAGCTTACTTGGGTGTAATTGCTGGATTGTATAGGGTCACTCTAAGTCAGAATTGGTGGACGTGGGTTTTATTTTACAGTAAGACTAGATTTCTCTTGTGTTCATCTTGTGTTTGCTGCTGCTGCTGCTTAGCTTGAGTCCTTCCACATCAGCAGGTGAAGGCCTTGTGAGCAGTGCTCAGCTTCGTGCTTGGGGGAGATTCCACCTGAGAGGCAGCTCTCCCCCAGCTGTATTTTGAGTATCTGAGAGCCTTGCTCTCTGGCACTAAATTAGACAATGTTCCACTGCTACTTAAGAGTTCTCAGTAGCCCATTATTTCAGGAGTAGATGGCCACTCCTTCCTATACTGAAACCTGTCCACCATGGGAGACCTTGTTAACATATTGGAAATACCGGTGACCTAGCTTTCAGCCTCACAGCAATGCACAAGCCACCACAGAACAACAGATTGAGAGACGAGCAGTGGGAACTGGCTTCATAAAAAACTGCCAGGTGTGCTTCTCTGTTTTGCTCCCAGACTGTCTTCTCACTGGACTTTTTGTTTTTGGGTGAAAGAGTTCTTTGCATATTCTGGCCATTGTCAGAGATGTGGCATTTCTCCCGGTTAGTCATCTGTCCTGTTCTCTAGGTTGTCTTCACATGATCTTGAGGCACAAAATGTTTTCATTGTGCTGAAGTCCAAGTTCTGGAGACCTCTCTGACTTTGACAGGCCCAGTGGGAGGGGCCAAGGGTGCATCCCACAGATTTTTGACACATTTTTGTTTTCACTCTTTTTTGGCCCACGTGCTATCCTGGAAGGGCTGCCTGTGTGTTACTTGTCGTGAGCCCCTAGAGGACCACCTGGGAAGGACTCTGGGGGCACAGTTGTAAACAGCTGGGCGTCATGGTGGTTACTGAGTGGAGTAATGAAATGCCCACTCGTTAGTCAGGATTTTGTTTCTCCTTTCAGTTCCTACATTCTTCTGTCCCTGCCACCTTTTCCCTGTACATACTATTCATAAAGGAGCCAGTTTCTGCAGAAATCATAGAGGAAGATGAGGGTGGTTGCTGACAAAGAGAAGCTTCAGGAATCAGGGCTGCCTAAGAATATTTGATGAGAAAGCGGAGACAGAACTGAACTGGGAGAGGAATGGGGGGAGGCACCAAGGGGGACCCCAGTACTATAGCAGTTAAGTGCTCCCCTAAAGGCTGGATGTTGGACCCCACCTGCTTCTCTGAGGGAGAAAGATGAGAAAGTGCTTCTGTGATAGTGACAGCCTTGAAAACTTCACTAGCAGTTATACTTGGTCATACGGGGACTCTGTGGAGTCCACCTGATGGCCCTCAAAGGGGATGCCAGCCAGAAACCAGCCAGCAGGTGGAAGCAGACCACACGGAGACAAGATGGAAAAGCGAGTATAAAGATGGACAAGGGCATGGATAAAGGACACTGGTTCAGCAGAAAGAGACCAGGAAATGGTTCATGTACAAGTAGGGGGAGGTGGAACCCTAGCTCTCTGGTGACAGGTGCAAATGCATGTCCCAGCCTCCCCGCCACAGCCACGGCCACAGGCATCCAGCAGGGACTGTGTGCTGACTCACTCCCATGCTGGGGGTGTCACCTGGTCCAGCTGCTTGGGGGCTAGGCCCCCCACCACACAGAGCATGGCGATGAGGCAAGACAGGACAGTCCACAGGCTGAGTTATGGGAATAAATAGCTTTCTTAAATTTCCTCTCTTATAAATAAGCTTCAGAACATCTGATCACATGGCAGCAGTGGGCTCTGCAATGAATATAAAATTACCCCAACACTTCCTGCCCTAGTGACAGGAAACAATTACCTAAAACACCTTCCTTCCTGGCACCCCTGGTGCTCCCTGCAGCCGCTCAGTCCCGCGGCACCTTGAATTGATCCTTCTCTTTGCGGATGGCCCGCATGGTGGTCACGGGGTCCGTCTCGCCTGCATGCTCCTGCACGCTCTTCTCCCTGTGGGACACAAGGTCTGTTGTGGCCAGCAAGGTGGTGGCCGGCCCCAAAACACACTTTGTTGCCCCATGTTTAGGTCACCAAGGCTACATGCCTCCCCCCCCCCTCCACCCTGCCACATGCTGGGAAAGGGAAAGAGGCAACCTTGTTTTCCGACTGCACAGGCCCCAGGGCCAATGGGTGCTGCCCCGTGCCAGGAGGACAGGGACGCCTCTCACCTCACTCTGCGGGGGATAGGGACAGCATGGACCCCCCGCACCTCACTCTGTAGGGTCAGGGACAGCGTGGACACCCCTCACCTCACTCTGTAGGGTCGGGGACAGCATGGACACCCCTCACCTCACTCTGTAGGGTCGGGGACAGCGTGGACACTCCTCACCTCACTCTCATGAAGGGATTGAAGGTGAACTCCTCGGCGATGGTGGATGGCACCGTGGGCTCCCCAATCCCATACTTCTCCTGTCAGAGAGACACTGCATGTTACGAACACGTGAGGGGCGGCCTCCCAGAATACTCTGGAAGGCCCACCAAAAGGGCTGGGCAGGAGGGCCCTGTGCTCAGAGCTCCTCTGTAAAGGGTGAACCCCTAGCCTCTGTCATGGGGTGAGAGGGAGGCAGAGCCTTCTGTTAATGGAAGCTTGTTTTCACATCATAAAAGTGGCCACTAGCAGAATGTCTGAACACACAGGAAAGGTGGAAATCACACATGGTTCTGTCTGCAAAACAGTGTGGGGGTCTGGAGGTGCTGCATGGGGAAGGTTCAGGACCTGGATGACAGCTGGTCACCCATCTCACCCTGCTCTGCAGGGACATCAGGAAGACCCTCCACCACTGAAGGGCACCAAGGGGCAGGCAGAGCCAAAGGCTGCTGTACCCCATTTATCTCCCCTGCCATGGAGCACCTCATAATGCTCCTTCACACTCTTCCACCTCACAGGGGACTCACCTCTCAAAACTACTCTGCTTTTTTTTTTCCTTTTTATTATTTTTGTGTGAGTGTACCGTCAAATCAGATCTGACAGGTACAGGAGGAGATTGTTCCTCTTTCCCCGGCAGAGCATCTGGTGGATTTGAACTGTGCGTCTCTAAGATTATAGTTGCAGCTCCTTGCCACTAGGCCACCAGAGCTCCCCAACTACTCTGCTTTTTTAATGGGCAAAAAAGCCAGAAATGCTTCATGAAATGGCTGTTAACACAGGGAGATGTCCATAAGTGAGGTCTGTTAAAAGTGACTTGACTGTGACGAGCCCCACCAAGCCCAGTGTAGTGTCAGGAGGCTGGGGGACAGTTGGAACTCGCCCCCTCTGGCAGCAGGAACAGACTGAAAAGGCATCACTTCTGTGAAAGTCAGCCAGGTTCCCACCGCACGACCCAGTGATTTGTCTCCAGTTATGACACAGGGGGACCCTCATTCCCATCGCGAACAACCAAGACCAGTGCGAATGGGCTGGCAGGTGAGCGACAGAGAAGTCCTGTCCAGGCAGGACATGCGGCTCAGCCACGGGGAGGGACAGACTACACAGCGAGGTGGATCTCTTCATTGTGCCAAGTGGACAAACACGCACCAGCGTGTTTTCTTCCCGTCCAGGCCCCACTGAGCCTACTGCCATCGAGTGCCTCCCACCTGGGAGCAACGGCATGTAAGACAGAAGGAGACCCCACCGAGTCCTGAGCCGCCTCACTGTCTCTGCCTGAGCCCCAGGTTGTAACAATGGGTCTGTCTGTACCATTGGGGTCCTTCTCTTTCACTGACCTTCCACTTTACCAAGCCTGATGTCCTTCTTCAGGGACTGGTACCTACCCGTCCAAAGGTATGTGTAAGAACAATCTTACAAATCTGGGCAGAGTCAAGTCACTGGATTAATAATTTAAAATCCTTCCAGGGCGGGAAAAAAAAAGGAATTTCAGGCCTGAATGGTTTCACTGGAAAATTCTAACAGGCACATAAGGAAAACTAGGGAAGAGGAGTAAATGCTTCCCAGCTCACTCTCTGAGGCTAGTGTTCCCTCAAGAGTCAGCAGTTCGTGAGAGAATCTGGGGGCCAATGCGCATCCTGAAATACAACGCTGTTGGCAAGCAGTGGGGCAGTATCCATACTCTTGCAAGGAGCCCTGCAAATACGACTCTCATTTACTTTTACTTGCCAGCCGCAAACACCAAAGATGAAGAAATTAGATTTTTACCATCAGCTGTGGCCAACAGATTGTGGGGACATGAGCATGGTCAGGGAGGGAAAGGTACTATGGGCTGGAACAGAGGACTGAAGTGGACATGGGGGCAGTCAGGGAAGAAAATTCTTTTCCTAGGATGGTGCTAATATGCAGGCTCTTAACACACAGAAGAGGGAGTCTCTGCGCAGCAGACTCCCTACCTCACACCATGCACAACCCTTACTATGAAATGGCAATAGTGCCTCACCAGCCTTAAGACCACTGCAGACCACACAACACTGTTGGATGAGAGCTTCTTGGGACTGTTACTTCAAAGCACCTAAGAATGCATGCCAACAACTCACCTTGGCCCAGGCCAGCTTCTCCTGGATGGCAGGGTTGTGGGGTTCCACGTGGTGGGCAAATTTGAGGTTGTTGATGGTGTACTCGTGCCCACAGTACACTCTCTAAAGAAGGAGAGCCAGGCTTCAGCATCCCCGTCCTGCAGAGCCCCTCACATAGTGATAAGGCCTGCCCCCTACCCCTCATAGCAGCCTGAGCCAGTGTGCCCACGCCTGGTGCCTGGACCCCAACATCAGGGCCTCGGGCCCACAGAGGTGGGGGCAACACGCACCGTTTCTGGGGGCAACTGGCCCAAGACCTCCAGCAGGGCCTTGTACATCTCATCCGCGGTACCCTCGTAGAACTTCCCACAGCCAGCCACAAACAAGGTGTCGCCTAAAAAGGAGAGGGCAGCCAGGAGGTAGAAATGGCCTAGCCGCAACAAGATATCCCGCTTTGGCCCTCTCAATGTACTGCCCTCAGGATGAGCCTGCTAATCCTCTGTAGATGGTAGAGACCCCAAAGTGTCACTCAGACCCAGAACACATGACCACTCCCTCCCAAACCTGCTGTGATGGGCACCTCCAGCTCTCAGACCACTGCAGACCAACACCCAGTCCCTCCCATACAGGCCCATCCACCAGGCAGCAGCCCCCAGTGAGGGTTGCCCTTCTGGTCTGTCAGGAGCCTGGCTAACTTGTAAAGCAAGATTAGCCCTGTACTGTAAAACCAGCAAGACTAACTCCATCTTGGCTAGAACATCTGCTTGGCAATAAACAACTCAAGGAAGTAGGATGTTAATAAGAGTGACCAAAGGTCTCAGACCTTAGGGAATGTAATCTACCGAAACTCTTTTGTGTTTCTTAAGCACACAATAAGGTATTCTGGAAAACATCTTTGTATTGTACTGAGGTCTGTGAGAGTTAATGTTTGACCTGATAGTCAACATCTCAGATGGGAAGAGATACTGCGATTGTTACTGCAGACATGTTTCTAAAACCTATATAGGCTTTTCTATGAATAATAAAATTGCTATTCGCCATCACTGGATAGTCTCTCTGCATCTTCATTTCATCCTCATCCCTTCTCTCGGTGGAACTGTTTGATATAATGGGGCTGGACTCCGTTATTTGGTGCCCGAAACCAGGGACCTGAGCACGAAGGAAAAGGCACGAAGGACTCCGTGAACATGTTAGGTAGGAACCTACTGAATTGCCTTTGGTGAAGGTAAGATCGGAGAAGAAGTAGCAGAGATGGGGATTAATCAGGTAAAACGTTGTATGTGCACACTTTACAGACTATGTTAAAAACCCGCGGTGTAAAATTAGATCCCCAACAACTTTGTACTTTCAGCTGGTGGAGATTAGTTCGAGATATCATAGGCTTTAGGAATGAGTTAGATAAGTTGAAAGTAATCATGTACAAGAAATTGAATCGGGGGCAGAGAGGAAGAATGAGATACCCCCGATATATCCCTCCCTGGAGAAGGGCATGGGAGGTGAGGAGTTAAAGGAACAAGATCAAACAGATCTTGAGGAGGGGGCTGCTAAATACCATCAAAGTTGGCCTGTACCTCCAAACCCTGAAGTGTTTTTTAGTGCAAAAACGGAGGATATGTTAGGGAAAGTCCTAGAACGATTGAATAAACTCAAAATGCAGCAAAAGACTGCTGTGACTGTGCTGCCATCTCCTCCTTTTAATCCAAATTACAAAAAGTTAAAATATCAGCAGTCATCTAAGTTTTTAGATTTTGTTAAGAAAGTCTGTGTCTGGTTTCTTAAGAATGTAACTGTATTGCTGGTGCTGCTACTTATTCTCTCCCTCCCCTCTCCCCTGCCCTCTGTGTGTGCAGCTACTAACCAAATCTCTTCCATCATCAACAGGAGAGTCCTGAGCAAAACTAAAAGTGTCAGATTCAAAGGCAGTGCTGTGGCTGATTTGTTACGCAGCCTTATACTTTATATCCCCCTTAGGAAAAGTGTATAAATTGGGAACTGGTGTCTTTTGGTTAAGGAACTATGGGAATAATTTTTGAATGTAATAGTCTTAGTAGTCAAAGTTCCCAGGTTCATATTAGAAGTATAAATCAAGAGTTTACTAATGAAATTATTGTTCCTTTTCCTACAAA